CCGCCCACACACCCACACCCACACACACCCACATATATATATATATATATATATACTTGCACACTCTGCACAGCTGTGTACGCACACGTATGGACGCCGGATGCGCTTACTAACATGAGCAATCACCGGCATCGTGATGAGCTTTTGGGGGAGTGGGAAAGCTTCGAGGGAATTGCGTGGGGAATTGTTGCTAGAGCATTGTTCATCGTATGCCTCCGCGTCTATTTGGGCCTCAAGTGGGCGCGCATATGGAATGTGGGGTCCAGCGTTCGTAATCTTGCGTTCAGGCTTTAGGGTTTGGTGCGCGCAGGACGGCGGACACTGCGTGGAGAAGCTGGCAACGACCGGCAGCGCGCGAAGGAGGAGGCGGCGAGTAGGGAAAGCAAACGGGAGTGGATGCAGGCAAACTTTTCTAATTTGACCGGGCCGGGGGTGTTCTGGAGGGAGTCTTGCCTTTTTTCACAGGGACAAAGCTTGAGGCAAAGACTGCAAAAACAACAGCAAGAAAGTGGAGGCGTGCACCCCATCGAACTTATTCAAACGGATCCCGACTGGGCCATCTTCGACTGGGAAAGAGAATGCGGATACACATGCAACAGCACCAGAGTACGACTTACACATTGGTACACGGGGTGACGTAGGTCAGCACCACATAAGGTTGCACAAACTGAGACGAACTATTGCACGAACACAAACAAATTGCACCTGAGGGGTCTGTTGGCGTTGACGCACCAGAGGAGCTGCCAGTTGCACTATTGGCGGTAGCAGCAACAGCACCGCCTGTTGCTGCTGCTACTCCTGAAGATCGATTCAGGCACGCATTCGACAGTGGGACGCAGACGTTGCCAGTGCAAGCGGTTGGGGCTGTGCCAACGTGTGAACGTTAGAATCGTGCGTACTTCCGTGCAAGTTCGCACGATTCAGAGCTTGGGGTGCGAGCATTGTTTCAGGTGTTTGAGCCTGTTGAACAAGAAGCAGAGAGAAAGGCGGTGACGGTGTGGGCAGAGGCAGAGGCTCGAACTTTTGTGGAAAAGTACCTTATGTACCCCAAAAACTTCGAGAAAATCGCAGCTTGCCTTGATGGAAAAACCACCAGAGACTGCGTTGTAAGTTATTATTCTTCAACAGCAGCTGCATCGTCTCCTACTACATAGAACGCGTATACTTCCCTGTTCGTTTGGCATGGAGTTCGCTGAGGTTTCGGCTGCCGTTTGTTTCATGTCTCTGCTCATCGTGGGGTGCTTCCTACTTGTTGAGGGCATAACGGTACCCATCACCGCATACAAGAACACATCGCTGCATCACAGTACATCTCCATACATCGCATCTGCCATGTATGCACTTGTGTGTGAAGAGTAGAGATGGAATGACCTGCATGCACGCCTGCATCTCAGCAACCGTCCCTGCATTTCCGTACACTCCATTACCTATTATGGCTCCTCGTTGGATATAATCAAGTTTTGCTGCAGTCCGTTTGATTCGATTACATCGTTATATACCGCATTACATGCGTAGAGGTATTTGCGCCCCATCTGGTTTGGTCGAGCAGCGTTTTTGTTCTAGACGCGTTCTATGCGTCGTCCTCGACCTAAGTGAAGTACGAAGAGCATGATTCATTCTCTATACTGTCGGTCTGCCGTAATATTCATGTGAATATATATGCTCGACTGCGCCCGAAGTTGTGTCTACCTTCTCAACAATATGCTTCTCAGTCTGTATTTTTGTGTTCGCATGCATCTGACCATGGTTCCGCTTGTTCCGTCGTTTGCATGGGCTTCAATATATTCAGATGCGCCAACGTTTACTTGGATGTGTTCGAGTGTGCAAACGCACATTTGATTGTTCCTATTTGTGTTTAACTGCATTCAAGTGTTTTGACTGGTGCCCACCTGTCAAGTGGATGTGTGGTGAGCATGTTTCTATGTGGCTAATTAACCTCAGATGCACAAGTTGTATGCGTCTCATTATGCTTGAATACGCGCAAATGTGGACACGTGCGTTTAAGTATGTTCAAATGCCTTCACAGAGCATATCTTGTTTTCAACTTTGAGTTGCCTCATTGTGGGTTTAGGACTTTTACTATCGGTTCAAGTTCAAGTTTGGCCTGAAGAGGAAACTGCAGGAGTTGGAGGATGGGACACGCATCAAGAAGAAGAATAGACACATTGGCTCCAAGCAAATTCGCAGGGAGGAGCTCGTGCATGAGGTGATTTTCGTAGAGAGAAAGTTGCAATACGAAAAAAAGCGCACGCACAACACAGGACGGAGAGACAGGAAACAGACTAGATAACTTAATCTAAATGGAAAACACGAGGTGGAAAACGATAGAAGAAAGTAGAGAGTCGACCGTGTGCAGCTGAGACCCGGATGCCAAAAGGGGTGAAAAGTGCTACTGCATTAGCTGGTGTTGGTCTGTAGGGGTATTTTGGAGCTTCGCTGTTCTTTTCTGGCCGTGTTTATTGGGCGGTCTGCCTTTCGGGTCCCGTATTACTTACCCCGCATGTTGGCACTGCATTCGAATTTGAGCAAAATCACTGGAAAATAAGAGCAGTGGACGAGGGAGGGTTGGGGTGGGTGGGAGGGGGGTAGATACACTAAAGGACACGAAATGGACAAGATTTGTCAGGATGGCAAAAACCATTCACGGCCCTATTTGCGCATCAAGGACTAGTATGAGTGGCACGATTGGCTGAACTAGGAAGAATGAATAGGAAAGATAACCATCCGGAACGGCAAGAAATTGCTTGGCGTGTTGTGTACAGGCGGTGGCGGCTTTGTCAGCTGAGTGCGGGACCGAGCTCATGAGGAGTTTTAATGACCGCAACTCTTTGCCTTTTGACGTCTATAGCGACCATCTGCTGCACAGAGAGGCCCTGCATTCGACTCTTAAGGTAGATCCTGTGTCTTTCTCTACTGTGGAAGGCAGTGCACTTGTTCCAGTAAATCTACAGTGTCCGCTTGTCCCTGGTCTTAACTTTTCGTTGGTGGTGATATATTCATATAATGCACGTTTAGCTCTTGGAAGATGGTATGTTGTGTCTCTGCGGATTCAAATTTGTTTCGCCTTTCTTGGAGCCTGTGCAGTGTTCATACAAGTGGAGATCAGTGCTGTTTCTCTTGCTCTGTGTCTCTTCGTGTGTATGGATTTACGTGCCTTTTGTTTAATGCCATTTCAATTTCCATACTCTGTTTTGCGTCTTGTGGTTCCGTATTTGTGCGTGAGTGGGGGTCGGGGGTGTTGGTTTCTGCTTGGTAACATGCCGTGCCCGCGAGTGCGGCGGTGGTAGAATGAAGGAATCTGCTATAGAAAACTTCAAAGCAGCACTTTCCCTTTTATTTGTGCATTGTGAGCCCCAGGACCCGGCGAGTTGCCGCGGGGAAGACTGGGGAGAGGGGGAGAGCGACAGCGCTGAGGTGTTTGTAGAGAACATGAACGACGGCTACTTCCTCCCAGCAACAACGAAAGGGCTTGTTGTGCCCGGCCGGGTTGTGAGCATTCCAAGTGAAGCTCCTCTATGGGGGCCGCCGCAGCGCTGCTTTGTGCCAGGCTGTCTGCTGATAGAGGGGCCCAGCAACCAGCCGCAGCAGCAGCAACAGCAGCAGCTGCTGTTGCGGCACGAGGGCGGCTCGGAGGCCACAGCGGCTGCAGCGGCCCCAGCAGCACCAGTTTGTCCGCCCGCTGCTCCTCTGCCCCTCACCCTTAAGTCAACTCAGCTGGACACTCTCCTCACGTGCATGCAGGTGGCCTCCCGCAGGTTTTGCCCACAGGATGACGAAGGGGGGCCCTCCTACATGACGCGCTCCCGAGCAGCTAGGGCTCGCCCCGGGCCCTGTGGGCCCCCGGGTGGGCCCCCTACCTTGCAGCATTTGGGCGCAGCGGTTATTCGTTCGGGCGCTGCGGGGGCCCATGCTGTGTTTGGGGGCTCTGGGGGACCAGGGCAGCTCTCTCCTGCTGCAAGGGCAGTGGACTGCCTGCTATCACGTCTTCGAAACATAGTCCGAAGTATGCACCAAAACACGCGACTGGGCTCCAGGGAGAAACGGCGGGGTATTGCTGAAGACGCCGAGGTGGGGAGCCTCCCACCGATCGGCAGTCCCTCTACCGCTTTGAGGATTGGGGATGACGAGCTGCCTCCCCCAACGCCTGAATGAAGGCACTGCTTTTGTATGGACAGGCGAATGCTTATGAATAAAGACTGGAAGTGTCATGTCAGCAACTGTTCACATAAACGAACAGGCGTGTATGAGAAAGAATGACTATGCAAGCGCAAGCGCTTATATACGGAAATAGCTATTCGTGTCAGCAGTACGAATGCTGAACGCAAGTAGCTGAATGGCGAGCAAACTCATAGTACAGATAACTGCTTGAAAGCAGACCGATTCAAGCTTTCCAGCCGAAGTGTGGGCAGTAGACTCCTGCAGCCAGTCCGACACTGTTACCCGGCGTTCGTGTGCTTACGCCGGCATTCATCTGCTGCGCTGTGTTTCTCTGTCTCATTGCTCAATTTGCCCTCTCTGTCCTTTCCCTCTTGTGTTATTTGTTTGGCCCTCCCATTCCTCCTGCCCCCACGTTCTGCAGTCATATCTGTCGTCGTTCTGTTTTTGGTGTGGTTGGGGAGCGAAAAGCTAAGCTGTTTTTGCCCGCCATCCTATTTTGCAGGGACGGACTCAGCGCTGCTTGAACTGCCCAGCGAGCTGCTCTTATGGCAGCAGTGTCCCTCTACTGCAGCGCATGCACCTCGGACAAAGTGCATAAGCAGCTGTAGATGTGTTAATATACACAGCAACTGCAGATTTTTTGCATCTACCAGCAGCCATACCCGTCGAGTCCGTATTATGATCCGCCTACAGTTCGCCCATGTATTGCTGCTTGCGTACGCGTTGGCTACTGCGGACCTAGCAACTGCTCAACGATTGTCTACGGCGTCAGCCTTTGCAGCAAAGGAGGATTGGGTAGGTTATCGGTTGCCTTGCAGCAAGAGATGCAACATACAACGCATGGAAACCCCCTTCCTCTCCGCACCAGCCTCGGGCCCTTGTGCCACTATGCCCAGGCTCCCTGAAGACTGGAGGGGAGGTCTGTTGCTATTTGGCAAATCTTTTCGAGTCTTTCGGCTCTAGTGCAGCTCAGGACAGTCCTCCGCTACGGTTGATGACCCTCGTTACGCTGCATCCTCTTCTCATCATCCCCAGGCCCTCGTGACTTTGTGCTCTGGACTTCTTGATACTGGAGGGGATGTTATTTACTATGAGGGAATTCTAAGTGTTGTGATGCAGCTCGCGACGGCCCTCGCGTGACATCGAGGACTCCTCTACCTACCTTCTCCGTTGGAAATTGAGAGACGATGGCCATGGACAGTTTAAGTGAATTTGCACATCGCTTAGACTGGGTCGATTGTGTGGAAGAACAACAGAAGAAACATCGTCCCCATGCATAACATGCAATCGAGTGTCAGCTGGCAGGGTGAGTGCTGGGGTCCGTCGTCATATGGACTAGCGTGGAAGTGGGGGCCTTTATTTCAGACGGAGCACTGGAAGCACTTGACAAACTTATTTTTGTATAGTGAATAGAATAGAGAAGTACCAACGCTGTGAGGCGGCCCTTGAGGCGATATAGAGGGTACAACTGGCCATCCCAGCCCGGGGTGCGGCGAGCCATCCTATATCATTCAGCAATGTTCATGGAGCGGCAAATTCGTCTACTGTCAGCTCTCCACTTTTCTTTTATTTTGCTCTCCATTTTCCCAACAATATTTCTCTGTTTCTCGTCTTAGTGAGTCCGAAAAGCACTTCGATGCTGATGCTCAGTGGTCTGACGCCTGCGCATACCGGTCATGGCTGTCGGCGCTCCGCCGTATGTGCAGGAATTGTCGCCCTAACAGAGGATCATTTTCATCACCTGCATTTCAGAGTAGAATTGTGTTGTTGCATGAGGCACGGAAAGCATCATTGGGGTTGTGTTCATCCGCACCCGTGGATGTGCAGCGTAAATACCCCTGAGTGCATGTTGAACACACTGTGCGGCCTTTCTGGGTTTTGCAGCACTACGTTTCTTCTTTATGGCTTTGTAGTGGAGTGGTCTGAATGGTCACGTCTCCCTCAAGCGCAATAGGGCTCACAATTTCCAATCTGAATTTTCAATGGCTGCTGCAGGGTCCGCCTAACCAACATTTAGGAAATGAGTTCGAATCCACGACTCCGGGAAGCCTTTGCCCTTTTCGACAGGGATGGAGACGGAGAGTTGACTGCCAGCGAGGCTCTATTGGCTATCCGTTCTACGGGGGTTATTGTGGCTGCCGAGGAGGCAAGCAGCCTGCCGACCGTGAGCCAGAGCCAGAGAAGTGTTTTCCAGTGACAGTCACCAGCACTTTAGTCAATGATTATTTCTGCGTAAATGATAAAGGAAGGTTCGGGTAGAAAGATCGTGGGAGCAGCCACCGCAGCAAGGGTCTAATGAAGCTCCACTGCTAAGGTGTGTTTGTTGCAGACCATGAACTGGGAGCAGTTTGAGAGTTGGGTCAACAAGAAACTGAGCAGCAGCAACCCGGAGGCGGACTTAATCAAGTCCTTTAAAGTATTTGACACAAAGGGGGACGGCACTCTCTCGACAGACGAACTTATGCAAGTATGCAAGCACATGAACCGCCTGTGCCAGCCCTAGTATGTATTGTGCAGGTAGACGTGACTGAGCCTCGGCAAAGCACACAGCTCAGCGCTTGCTGCCCTAGAGCAACACTGGAGTAATAATTAGGGTTCCTTATGCTGAATCTAGGGTTGCTTATGCTGAATCTACTGCACGTACATCAGTATAGTAATTTGACGCAGATGTTGCCATTGCAAGAATGGGCTATTTATACACGTCAGCCAGATCTAGATATGTAGTCTGTTTTGTCGTCCCCTCCGTCAGCGCCTCATTAATATGCTCTCTTCATTTATATTGTACGGGTTTACGTCCTACGTCTGTTTATTCCTGCGTTTTAGGTTATAAAGACCTTAGGAGATCTGCTGACGGACGAAGAGGTTGAGCGTATGGTTAATGACGCAGACCCAAGCAAAACAGGGCGAATTAAATATGCCGATTTTGTAAAGTACCTCTTGAGCAACTGACTTCATGGGTTCATGCAGCACCCCACCACAGCAGTTAAAGCGCTCCTGCTATACTCACGTACATGTTGTTCGTGAACGTATGCATGGCTAGGGTTATTTGAACCGCACGGGTTCATTTTGTGCGTTTAGTGGAGCCTCTGCCCATCGGGTGCTTCCTCACCTAGCTCTCACAGCAGAGGGCCGAGCGCAGGTGTTGCTTTGCCATGGTGCATGTGGGAGTTGCAATCTTTAACCTGCGTGCCGCCTGTGTGTTGCTCGCTGCACAGCTGGGGCAGTATTGCATGCACCACATGCATTACGATGGACAAAAGACGGGGAGGGGAGCTATGCCTTTCGGTGCTTCTGCCGAGAAAGCGAGCAGCATGCATGCATGTGTGCAACATACATGCGCCAATGTGAGCTATACAACCCCTCCAGGCCTTTTTTATGTGAACGATTTGGAACCGACAAGTCAGAATTACAAAGGGTTAGCAGTCTGGACTTCTCTGCAAGCTATTGCACCTGATTAACAAACACCCAACGGAAAACCACAGGATAGCCCTGCGAGCAGAGTAACCGCATCAGTTCCGCCTGCCGCTGCTGTAGCAGCTGCTGTAGCAGCTGCTGTAGAAGCTGCTGTGACAGCTGCTGTAAGCTTGTTGATGCAACTCCTGCTGTTTCTGGCGGCGTAGTTGTAACCCGGGAGTTGTTCCTCCAGCTGCAGCAGCAGGCTACATTTCCTCTCTCTTCCTATCATCTGTATCCGGAAGTGGGTCGTCGCCGACGTCATCTAGAATAGCTTCTGAGGTTTGATCTTCCCCCTGAATTGGGAGCATCTGTTCGACGGTCTGCCGGAATTCGTCGGAGAGGCGGACGTGAGGCATTTGATAGACTTCTCTAAGGAAGTCGAAGACGCCCGAGTGCTTTCTTCCAGTTGCTCTCCGGCTGATAAACTCTAGAGGCTCTATTAGGTGGAGGAAGTGACGGCTCCGCTCAGGTCCCGGAAAACGCAAGATGTACTCGTGTTTCAAATATCCAAATTCATAGAAATACTGGACGCGAGAAAACCACTGCGTCAGATGCCGGCGTGCGCGATCTATGGCCCGACCCTTTGCGTCCCTTTTCCTCCTCAACTCTAAAAAGTCGAATGCATAGTTAACAACCCCTCGTTCGTCGATGAACTCCTCAAGGATTTCTAGGGCTTCCAATGTCTTTGGAGACGAGTATTCTGCATGCATTGCATTCAGTGTGTTCGCCTGCTGGAGCTGTTGCGTCAATGTAAGCATGTTTACGTAGTACCACGAAGTCACCAACAATCCCAAGAGAGATATCGCCAATGCCCAGTTCACCGTCATCATTTCAACCTGTGGACTGCACCCGCCCTCCCCCCAGCCGTGTCGTATTGCTCAGGGCATCAGCTTCCTCTGATTATTACTGCAGAAACAGCAAATAAGAACAACTAAAGATGCACAATAATATTTTCTCTAATCAATGCAGTCCGGATTGGTCAGGTCCTCTCGACCTTTCCAGACGACTAGGCCGCGCAGCAACACCACCGGCTGAGCGGCCGTCACGTGGGATAAGGCTCCTCAGAACAATTGAATTTCTAAAGTGAGGAAATAACCCACTGGCTTCTTTGCGTGGGGAAAACAACTGCCGATCGCTGATCGCATGCGCCCAGTAGAAACAGCCTCACGAACTCGCAAGCCGACTGTAATGCTGCGCACCGCAGAAGGCATACAAGTCCGAGAGAATAACCTAGTACAACACCAAATGAAATAAGGCAAGTTACAAAAGCGCGCCCATTCCTAACTACCTTGAAAATGACACCTATGCAGGACAAGTAGGTTTCTGATGGAAGAATATGGGGCTTGGTAGGCCGGGCAACGCCGCTCAAGGATTGGAATTCGTTAATGCGAGTTTGCTTTTGCTGTAAACGCCCAAGCATTATGTGGCAGATTAGACTCCCGCGTTCACAGTAGTTTTTAGAACAGCCTTGATGGGTGTTCTACCGCTATCTCGATGACGCATCCCCGGGCAGGGCTCGGCTGAAAATGTATAGCCTTCTTTTAGCTGAATGAAGGCTGGCTACTGAAGGTGAAGTGCATAGAAAATTGGAAGTAGTGTCAATACATGCATCAAAAGGGGGCCTTTGCAAGGTTGCTTGTGAGGTTGTCTTGCATTGGTAGCTGCATGGAGGAGTGCTGTGAGAAGCCCCCGGTCTGTCCAGGTAATCTGCAAACTGAAGATGAAGTTGGCTGTCTTGGGGAAAGTCCCTCATGCATTTTGGCTCGATTAAAGCTCATGACGCTCTTCTGCTGAGATTGAGGACTCTCGTTGCATTCTGTTGTTGCATGTAATGGCACCGGCTTGCTAGAGGGGGTATACTCGGGCTGCAAATCCATCTTTCACAGCGGGACAGCCTAATGTATAGCGCACATTACTCGAGAAACCGCTTTGCAGAAAGAGAGAACAGAACTACAGATATCCTCCCTGAAGTCTATATCGAAAATTCAGCACTACGGTATAGAAGATGTCGATCAGTAGCTTCCCGCCCGCGAGGAGGGGAGCAGTCGCTGGGCGGCTCATCGCACTGGAATGAGCGCTGTGTCCGCTGTCCATCCAGGCAAAAATGGTTAGAATGCAAAAACCTCACAAAGAATGCTTCCGCCTTTGTCGTCATGCAGGGAAGTGGAGAAATTTCCTCGTTCTGTAGTGGTATGTTTTTGTCTTAAAAACACATCCAAAAACTGCCGTTACCATTGGCATATTTTTTATAAGGGGGGAAACACGACAATGGTGGCTGTATCTCAGCATCAAATACCGTCTTGCAGAGCATATCCTTAGTGTAGGGGTTGCTAACAAGCATTGCTGTGTGTTTTGTCCCTAGATTGTCAAGGGAAGAGCAAGGGAACAGCGTATGTCAAAATTAAGGGAACTAAAACAGGGAAACTGTCGACATACCGCAAGGTCGAGGCGTCTTAGCCTTTGGTCAACAGAAGTCTTGCGGTGGACTTAGAGATTCTATGCCAGTGGTTCATAGCAGGGCTATTCTCTGGAGAGAGGCATTCCGCAACTAGCTTGCCCGTGGAGAGTGATCTAATGGGTGAAAGGGTGGAACTCTCGGAGACTGAGGAATGCTTTGGCATCAAAAAATAAAATTGCTACTTCCACTCCTCTATCTGAGAAAAGGGCCTGAAGACTGACCCGTCCATATTAGGGCTGTGAATGCCAGCCACTCCCACAAAAAATAGGCAGCGAGAACAGCAGCAAAGCGGCATTCAGCAAGCTGGGGGAAATACCGAGTGAAGTGCCTGCTTCTGTTGCAACAGAGAAGACCACACCACGAGTGTGTGAAGGCGAATGAAGAGAACAAATGACTGGAGAACCAAGACTTTGACCAGCGTAGCCCGGGAAAACAAAAACCCGATCAGGGGAACCGCTCTGGCCTTTACCCAACGTGCAGAGAAGTAACGGGAGGAGCAGGGGTAAGACCAGCACCCGCAGATTCGTTTCGACCCAACTGTGTATCAATGCTCAGGAATTGCCAGCGCTGCTTGGCACAGATGTACAAGTGAATTCGATGTGTGATCCTACGACGAGGAACTGCAGCGTACCTGCCTTTTCATTGAAGCAGTGTCTATGACTACATTTCTCCTACTGCAGACAGGTCACAAGGATCGGTAAAGATTTTCCTGTCTTTCTTTCAAAACCATCCCAACTCATAATTGGGTCATATTACCATGGCACGGGACTTTTACGATGGAGTACTCTACTACGGCATATTTCTAGGCACACTGTGAGCCACTCTGTGGAGGAAGCGCATGCGGCTTCCAGAGCAGAGTATTGAAGTTCATGCGCCGGGGAGCAGTAACAGAGTGCAGCTCTCAGGTATCCCAACAGCCTTTACGTCTTCTAATGCAAGACGAATGGAAACAGGCTCCTAAGAAGAAAAGAGAGGAGTGAGGCAAATCCATTGCAGTGCAGAGGCTGAAGTGAGCAAGCATACCTATGCTGTTACTACGTGTTATCCCTATATGCTCCTATTTAGATGCACACTCTATATCGATCGCTACAATCAGCGAATCTTCGATTGACTGAAGCAAATGACGGGCAGAATGCTTGAAAAACACATTCGCGTCTCATAATCCTAAAAAAGTGAAACAAGGCTAATGGAACTGCCCCCGTTAGCGGCTCGCCGCATGCGCGGCGGTGCCAACCTCACAGCCAACCCCGGAGATGGGGTCGTTGCCGAGCAGCTTTAGCCTCAAGGCTCCTTTTTCTATCCAGTGTTGGTTGATTCATTTCTATTAAGACTTTATGTTTCTACTCTTTCTGCTCGAGAGGTCGCTAGAGGACCGGCTTGACAACCGTTGTAGCGCCAGTGCATTACAGAAGCCCTGCTAGCATGGGAGAAGAAATGCATGCAATTGGTCGTAACAGTCTTACGAAAGCCGCAGTTTTGGGGGATTCAATTCAGTTAACACCCGGAGAACAGCAGAAGGGGGCACAGGTGACGGAAGAGTTAGATATAATAAACAGCGAGGAGCTTGTAGCGGGCTGTCCACCGGCTGGACGTCCAGCCAGCGGCATTGACACAAATCCCCGTGCAACCCGAAGCTTTGTTCCGAGGTGCAGGCCACCTGTGCATCATGAGGAGATCAAGATTCAGGCAAGTTCAACCGTCAACTAGCGCATTTGGGCACAACCCGTTGCTGGAGAAGAAAACGAATAAGAGGTAGTGCATGAGCGTAGGCTTCATGCCCCTCAACAAATCACGACAAACCGAAAATTTCCTGTGCTGCGGACCGACCAACTACTTGATCGTTTCAAGGAGTTAGCAGCCTATTTTACATTTGACCTCGTTGGCTCATTCTTTTGTATTCCCTCCATCCCGAAAGCAGACAAAACATGGAGCTTCAATCCCCCAGTGCCTAGCCAGAATACATCTGTTTGTATTTTCTCACGTGAATGCACCTGCCGAATTGCAGCTACAAGTTCAGGATGATTTGTTGTTGTTTTTGCAGTCGTTGACGGCTGGTTGGTCACATACGTGGAGGACACACTTGGGTTCAGCCGGAATGCGCAGGAACAGTTGCGTCACCTGCAGTGTGAACTGCAACGATTACAGGAGAAGCTGCACCTCGTAAGAGGACCAAGGTGTTTTCTTTGCAAACAGTTAGGCTCCTACAGCTCTGTGTCTGCTGCAAGAATGGAACCGGATCCTGCGAAAATTGAGGTTATTCGGAGTTGTTAGCATCTTTTGTACACTCGCATAGACATTCAGAACTTCCTGGGTCTCGCATCGTGCAATTGTCACACCAGACCTATATTTTCTCGCATTGCAACTCCTCTAACGCATCTGCTCACGAAGGACAAAACCATTTCTTATCTTCAGCGAGACCGAAGAAGAAGCGGCCAGAACCCTCAACACAGAGATAACATCGTTTCGCGTACTTGCATCCCCTGAATACGGCAAACTCCTTTTCCTAACAGCCAGTGCCAATGACAAAGCTGTTGGGCTGATTCTATCTCAGAATGCTCTGCAGCGAGCATAGTTACCCGATACGCAGGAAGGTGCGCTATGGAGTCTGTTGCGGGGTCAAGAAGTATAGAGACTATTTTGTGGCGGACATTTTACCGCTCAAACCTGAGATGAATCCCTAGCATGCCTAGCGAAAAGCTTTTATAACCTTGACAAGGCAAGAACTGTTTCACTGGCTTTTCCGGTTCACGAAGTGCCGCTTCACAGTCAAGTGCATACAGAATATCAACGACGCATTTGCTGGAACACTAGTTCGTTACCCTGATGGTCAGGCACTTTATTCCCCTATCTTTTTCTGCTGAGTTTTGTATCTCGTTAAAGCGATTTGTCTCTCCCTCGTTAGACACTTACGCAGCTGCGGTACTTTCCATGCACAACCAAAGACGACATGTTAAGCCCTACATCATGGACGGCAAAATCTTCTAGGCCAGGAAAAGTCGTGGGCAAAGACGAAATAGAGGCGTTTTGCCCAAAGTGTGCGATCATGCTTTAACGAGCCTGGGTGGGGTCAACACAACAGAGCGCGTGAACAGGTATCTGTGGTAACGTAAGACGCACCCGCCACCCAAGAAATATGTTCGAACTGCTCCGGAACCTCAGGAACAAAGGCGATGATACATTCTCAATGCCGGATTTTCGCAGAGCCTTTAGATTCATGAGCGCACCTAGGCCGATATTCTGACAGGATTTCATAGTGGGTTTGCCATCAGTCAGAGGCTGCGATAGCACTTGCTTTGTCGTGGTTAGACTCAGCAAATGAAACCATTTCGCCCCCTATTCGTGCGCATTTATACCAGGAGTGGCCTACTTGGCCAACATGACACACCTGGAACAGATGGTAAATTGAACGCACCAATGGCACGCCAGTGCAGTTCTTATGACAGAATGTACTGCAAAATTCATCAAAGTGGGTTGGCCTCTCCCTGTGCGGCGCGGCTTTATAATGCAACGTGCGGGCAGCCCAATGTTCTCCGGCATCCCTGGTACGCCAAGAAAAAGAAGTGCCTGCCCTGGCGTTGCAAGTGGCTTTTGGGAGCCAGCACCATATCTTGGCTCCTTCCAAATTCCAAACGCAGATAGCAGCACCTCGGGAATGAATAAATAATGTACAAGGGTACCAGGCAAGAAGCTACGACAGATTTTATTCGTCATGTACTTCTAACTTGGGCGAGTTGGTCGTGATCGACTTTCACTGTCTGCGAAGGATACAAGAGAGCGAGCAGTCGGAGTTTGCTATGTGTTGGGTATAGCAATTTGCTGCTCATTCCCCGGTCAACTTGTTGGCCTACATTGTAGATTAAGCCCCAGTGCGGAGATGTCACCAGACCATTAATGCAAGCTTATAATACGACTCAGCGATCACCAGACCTTCCGCGGATTCCATTCACAATATTGCAGCAACGTCAGTGCGATAAAGCAGAAATTGACAAGAGCGACATCCTGGACAAACGCGCAACGAAGCGCACAGGTCACGTAAAACGAGAAGAATGTGTAGAAGGGGCAGACTACGGACACCTCGAGAGGGGTCATGGGAATCGGTTTGGCGAAGTGGTCCTTCAAGAACATGTACGCACCCTCCTCAACTCAGCGGCGGCTACTAGGAGACTGGGAGTGCGCAACGCGCTGTAAAGTTTGGCTGCGTGCAAGCTTTTGCTGACTAGCGCTCTGCCACGCCAAACGTGCGTGGCAGCGCTCTTGCATCTGCACATATATATTCGCCGGCACGAATTGTTTTCTGCTACATCTCCCCATTACCTATGGCTAGCTCGGCACCGCCGCTGAAAAGACTTTCTCTTTTTCCTTGCTTTTATCCTGGCCCCCAGCCGTGCGGGTCTACGAAGCGCAGTGAGACTCCAGGATTTTAGCTGAGGAATTCCATAAGCTGTTATCGAGTCAGAATACCAGATCTTCCAAAAAGCAGCTGCCCTACCATCCAAACTCCGAGTGTACATGGCACAGCGGCCAACGGGCCAGGGTACGGTGAGGAGAGGAAGCTGCCTTTCATGCATGGTAGCCGGCCTTTCTGCGGTTCCAGCTGCAAGGCAACCAGACATGCGGACATGCACAGTCCCCCTTCTCATGCGTGTATTAATGTAGAGGATTGTTAAACACTTACTTCGCCCTCAGTGGCCAACCTATCATGTACTAACTTCAGAAAAGCAATGCGGCCGTAGCATCCAGTAGGGCCAAATCTTGCACTGAAACAAGTATGTACCCTGCTATTCCCCCTTCCTCTGCACTAGGTGTCAGGCAGCTCTCTTCTCAGCCCAGTTTCAATCTCTGACGCTCCCAACCACACAGCAGTTCCGCGGGGGGAAAATACTGCTCTACACTTTACGAGTCACACAAAAACTTAAGCTTCGTTGTATTGTTCCTGTGCCTCAATCAACCGTCACAGCGCGGGGAACTTTGCTCTACACTTGTCGGGTATGCTACACCCCAGGAACCACCATGCAGCTACTTCCAAAGGCTAAAGCTTTGGCTGTCAGTGAAATTGTGACCCACCCAGGAGGCTATGAAAGTCACGGCTACGCAACCACAAATGCTGAGCACTGTTTACTGTTTGTGTCAACTTTGAGCACTCAGCGAACAACTCCAGAAAGGAAATGAACACACCCAATCTCGGGCAACTGACCCCACAAGAATTGGCTGGCATAAGCACAAGCAACGCCGCAGGCCGGCCTACTTTGCTTGTTGGAACGGTAGCCTTGCCTCAACATCAAGGGCCTCCAAACCAACCCACCAGGGCAGCGACTTGAACTGTGAGATGTCCCCCAACACCATCCGAGAGTGTGCAAGGTTGCTGAAGCCTCTCCGAGAAGACAAGGCCTACGAAGTTGCTTTTCCTTATGCGTGCAACTCTGAAGGGGCCAAAATTGAGGCACGCGGCTCAGTAATTTCATTCAGCGCCGCAGAAGTCGCTGTGTCGAGGACAGACCGCCCCGCAGTGTTCTTTGGAGGTTCGAAAATTACAGAGGTAACTGCGCCACTGACAGAGTCACGCACGACGCTCCGGCTGCTCAACTTCAAGCCTTTCTCTCCTACCGATATAGGGTCAAAGCTTCCTTTACGTATCAGCAGCTTGGAGCGGTTGCCTTCTTCCGCTGGAGGAGACTTTTCAAAGAACTTTTCAAAAGACGAGCTGTCTCTGCGCAATGCCAACAGCCCTGAGGCAGCTGTGGACTGTGCTAAAGAAGCGGATGACGATTCCCGCGCAAGCGTTGGTGTTGGAAGAGACACCTCTCGTGACGAGGTGCAGCTTTTGCTTTCGTTTTCCCACTCGTCCGCCGCAGTGGGGACATCTGGAAGAGCAGACACCGGCGTCGACACGGCGGAAACATAACTTGATGACGAACCTTGCGAAGGCTGTCTCAGCTCCCCAATTGAACTACTCGTTGTCTGCTTAGAAGTCGCCAGCGTCTCGCAGCTCTGCCCCGACCCCCCGAGAATGGGAAGAGGATTTGGCAGGCTCATCGTGTTAAGCTGCGGAGAAAAGACATCACTGCCGGTACTCCTGAAGGAGTTCTCTTGTTTGGGAGGCGCGAGTTGCACAAGCACTTGTTCCACAGACGAGTGGTTGGTGCCCTCAGAATGCACTGTAGGTGAGTCCACGCGAGGCTGTCCTGCTTCCTGCCGGGGGGCGCTTGTAGGAAGGCTGAGAATAGTCAGAGGCAAACGGCGCTCCATCCGTTCCTCTGGTGACCGTTCTGGCAGAAAATGCGCACTTTGACGGAGTTGGGAATCCTGCCCTGAAGAACAAATCCACCATATCAGCATTCAAAGGAGTTCGTCTGGCACAACAGTTAAGGCGGTATCATCCCGCGACTGAAAGGCCATGCAGCGTTGTCCTTAGTTACCACTACTCTTTCAGATGAAACTTCCGCACTTCCTACTTTCCCTTCTAACCAGTATAATACGCTGCGTCCGGTTACGATGAAAGTGGATGACGCCGGGCTGTCAAAACTTTAAGGGAAAACCTACACAGGCTGTGAACAGATACGCAGGGAGGATATTGAATTACCTTCACTCCTGCAGGGTGATTCACTAATGGTGAGAATCTGGGGAGGCGCAGCGTCGACGACGATTTGTTCCATTCTTCGTAAATCGCGAAGGTATAGATGCGTCTCTCTCGCAGTGGGCGCTTCTCCGTACTCAGCCTCCACCCTCGCAATGGCGTAGCGGAGGAGGAGGTACTTGCCCTGCGCCGGTGTCATGCCCTCAGGAATGCGGGGCCTTTCGGATTGGTGGCTTTCCGGCCCGAAGTATCGGAAAAACTGCTTCTCCACAAACCCCGGCCCCTCCCCACTAACGATAAGGTCAGTGGCGCACCTAATGAGTGCTAGTGCCTCCGCTGCTGAAGCACCTGCACGCAAGAACGCCCCGGCAACGAACTAATCAAACGGTGGCGTACCAACGTTGTGGTTCATGGACAAAGTTCATAAGGTCCACAAATAAGTTCATACGCGGCACAGAAGGCAGCGACTTGAACTTCAGAACCATGCGGCAAAACGCTGCAGCGTCTCACGGTTTGGATCCTCTTTCCACTGCGAACTGCCTTTGTCCGCCAAGACGTGAGTTTCGCTCAGAACCAGTGGCCGCACATTCAAGTTCCCTTCCGATTCTCGAAAGGGTATGGCAGTACGTATCGTTCTGTTGCTAGCACTAGAGGACACACCTCCAAGGTGCGGCCCAACAAGATGGGTCCTGGGGAGACCATCCGAGGAGTGCGGACACCTCGTGCGAACGTTGGACAAACAAAGGACAGGAAGACGCGCCGTAGACTTCCCCGCGGATTGCAAAGTACTGTAAGGCCTCTCCGGGCTGCATGTCTCCCACTCAGAAGTCTTGCGGAGCTGTTCGGTTTGTAGGAATAAACTGCCTGTGGAGGGTCTGGAGGTCGTGCCTTGCTGGAACTCCGATACTGCCAGCGAAGCTCTTTTGCCTTGCAAGCAGGCGTCCACACGCTTCCCAGAGGGAAAAGCAATTGCAGAGTCTTTCGTACTAGTGCCGCCTCGCTCTATCTCACCCACGCTGCATGATTGGCTAGACGCCGCCTGGAGAGACACTTCACGATTCGTCCCCATGTCCTTCACTGTTTCGTGCACAGGCACAACTTTGGGAGTAGGAGGTCCAGCAATGCGTCGCTGCTGTCTCTCCCTGCACTGCATTGCTTGAAAGTTAACGCTAGTGCAGCATTTGGGCTGCTCCCATAGATCCATCGTCTCTTCCTGCATCTGTTGAAGGGACCCAGTGGCCCTTGGGAGCACCGCTCGCTTCTCAACAGAGTTGGAAGGGTGCATCCACAGAGGTGATGAGGAATACTGCGATACTGCTGCCCAACTAGCCTTATCAACTCCAGGGTATGGGAACTCCTGCACGAAAGTACAAGGAGGACAAGCGCAGAACGCGTGCTTCGGTTTATGTGCTCTATGGCACGGAAATACCACTACAAGTCCCACGCAGGTTTATGCTGCCCCACCACTTTCCCGTAAAGAACCCCCCGTTCTGCTGCGTCTTTGTCGTCCAGCTCCTTGCGCCTGTGTAAGAGACCAATGGCAGTTGCAATGCGTTGCGCGAGCAACTGGAATCTCGGGTTCAAGTCCTGAAGCGCATTAAGGGCCTTGCAAACTGTCTCTGCACACTGTAGGCTGCCTGCCGTAAGTCTCTGCTGGGTCCCTAGGGCCTCTTCGAAGTGGCGTAGAAGCGCGTACGCGATGCCGATATACCCCCGAACCACAGTCTCGTCTGTCGAGTGGCTTGTAGCTGCATACGCCACACCACACGGAAAGCACCAACAACAATCACTCCTCCTCTATCTTTTGACCATAAACCCGCGAAAAACCTGAACACGACAAGGGAATGCAACACCCTGCATTCTCTCTAAGTCTCTCATGGCTAGGTTCCAGCCATATTTTCTGGGACCCCAGCCAGGAAAGTTGCCAATCATGTGCAACGTATTTACTGCCGTTAGGCCCCTCAAGCTGCAATGCGAGCAAAAGCTGCAATCGGCCCTCTCCCTACACGGAGAAATGTAGTAGCTCTCCACCACCACCCCCTGCAATAAGGTGCTATATAATACTCAGCCGTCCGCAGAATTTCGAGTGCAGAGGTAAAGAGATACGCTATGCAATGCAAACAAGTGCTACACCATGTCCTTTCCTTACATCTGGTTTCATCACCTTTGGCAGACTCCTGTCCATCTACATGGGGGTCTGGTTGGCCCCAGTCCACCACAACTTTCGGGGAGGGCGGTGACTCAGTCAGTGAGGAGGCGGCAACGCCGTCCTCGTCTCCCCTTCCGCCCTCACGACCAGGACTGCAGCGACTGTCGGTAACAGGGTGAGATGACGACCTGGAGGGCACCTGAGAAAGAATCGGCAGCACACACAGGGCACCCAGCATGCCCATTAGAATTCATTAACATATCAGGAAAGTTAGCTCAGATGTCATGAATGTGCAAAGACAGGTACAGACACGAAGTATGACACAAAGAGACTGATGCCACGAGCGGAGCCTTGAGAAAAGGGAAACATGGTGGAAACGAACCCTAATGTGCTCCTCTACGGTCGCGACGAGTTGGTAATCTGCCCCAGAAGTGCCTTCTCTCATGTCTGCCACCCCGCAAGCCTTGCGCTGCCTTTGCAGGGCTGCATCCTTACAAGGTGCTCCTCTAAGTGGATGTGTGGCGGGCCGCGAACGTCCACCGTGCCGGAAGTCCCCAGGCAAAGGCGGCGCGGGGGCACGGCGCAGCTTCACGTCATCGTAGTACTGTGAATCTGGAGGCACAAAAGAGGGTGAATTCACAAGTAAGCGCGCTTGAATGAGTTGTATCTTTTGCTTTTAGTAGGATCGACCCTGCTCCTAAATATTGGTTGCAGAAACAGCTATAGATGAACAAACTGCACCAACGGCACTTGTTGCAGGTAAGTGCAGAGATACACACATGTGTATATGCATGATTTGCATATATATGAATGTATATGTGAAAGTGTGAAGCAAGGCATAGCGAGAGAGGCCAGGAACCTAAGCAGCAAATGTTCGGGACATGGGAGGAGGGACCACGAGGATTCGCTGTCCGCAAAACCACGCAAGGAAGGCGACATTCCATGCGGACAGCCCGCCAGAAATAATGCACAAATGCATATGAAAACAGCCGAGGACTGCCAACGAGAAGCATAAAGTGGCAAGAGGGGTAAGAAAGGGAGCAAAGGTACAGGAAAGGAACGACGCACATATTTGCTCTTCCGTCGTGGGCTCGATGATAGCCTTGGGAGCTGCACAAACGGCCAGGAAATGCGTACCTCTTCTGTTTTCAGCTCATCTCAAAGCGAGTTCAACTTTAAGCGAACATAGGATTTCTACGGAAGTGTATGGATGCTCTGTCAGTTACAGCCTCAGCTTACGTGTGCAGCGTATGATGGTTGTCCCTCTTTGCAAGGACAAGGCAAAAGGGGTTCGAAGACGGTCAGGGGAGACGGCATTGCTGCTGGGCATTGTTTCTGCTTAGCACAGCTACGCAGGCGAAAAGGGCAGGTGGGAGATTGGCCCGTGAATGAAAACTGTTGGAGGAACAGGCTGAACCAAGACCTTCTCACCCGGCTGTGCTGTTTACGCGCTAAACACGCCTCCGTCCCTTCAGCCCCGAGTTCATGCTGGCAGCACCGTATCTTGGGTTCATTAGTGGATGCTGTCGGCCTCGATTTGGTGGTCTGACGCCTGCTCCCTAATCCTCTACAGCCTCCCGTCGAAAGCCGATACGTACAAAATTAACCAAAGAATGCAGATCTAGTGTTAAGTGTGCCTTCACCTCCCAAGCAGCAAGAACGTACGGAAAGCTCGCGCGCCCGCCCTTGGTGGACCAAAGGCAGGCAGCGACGGCGCTTGAAGACGGAGGCGCAAATTTAACAGATGTGCAAGTAAAATGCATATCATGCCATAAGTATAGGTGTTTGAAAATGATGGTTTGCATTCAACTGTCCCTATTCAGAGTGAAAGAAAACCAGCATCTCTATATATTCGTACTCCCCCTGCCCTGGTCTGGTGATGATCACAGTTCTCTGGCAGGCGGGCACATCCAGCCAGTCCAAAGGCGCGTTCCTTGCAAATGGTACAACAAACATCAAAAAAGGGGGACATAAGAAGGAGGAGCCATTTTTTGTTTTTCAAACGAAGAAACACTGAAAGGTAACATTCCCTTGCCTTTTTCCTCCGTTGCCGGTACGCGCGGAGGTCGATGAGGCCAGCACCGCTTACAACTGGACACGCCTTTGGCACTTTCCTTGCCTCCTCAGCTGTAATGTTCGATGGACAGTATTGGGAAGTTAATGCTCCATCTCTTAAAAATTTTCCGGCAGTAACCATCGTGTCCACAGTTGTAGGACAAGAAAAACGGGGAACAGCAGCAGCGGGAAGGGCAGGAATTTTCTGTCATGGAGGGCTATAGTGCCTCTTTAGGGGGCGCTCACTCTAGCGGCATCTACAGCAGAATTAACTATGAAGAAAACAGTCTTCTGAACCGCACACCCACCCGTAAAGGTTTAGGCTGCTTGCAGAAGTGTGTATCTACTGGTGTACGAGCTGCAGACAAGGGGCCAGGTAAGTGTTAAATGTTTAAAGCGCAGGTGAATGCAGCATAGGGGGGCTTGGCAGTGCTTGCAAGTGGGGTCTGCCTGCAGGAATAGTTAGAGCGAGGTGCTGTGGTGATCGGCCGGCTCCTCTGCGCTTCAGCTAGAGGTCCTTGCCCACTTTGGGCTTCAGCTAGAGGTCCTTGCCCACTTTGGGCTTGCTTTCACCTCACGATGCTTCTCGGATAGGAGAGCAAACTCTCGCTACGCTTCTGTTCCGTTGCAGTCGACGCAAACGGTGTGATGGGATCGCACTACACCCGAAGACGTTCACGTCATTGCCTTGTTCAGTCAAACCCGGGCATGCGGCAAACTTGAACTAACAGTGGCTACACGCACTTTGTTTCCCTGAAACTTAAACTGCACGAGAATTATTGGGCCAGATTGTCTCTCTTATTTTGATTTCTACTAATATGCTCACTGGATTTCACCAAACAACGGTGATCATCCATGTATGAATCCCAGCTTGACTTTCCCATAGGCCCTCTAATGATAACCACCAATCGCTACAGTGGTTGCATGCTGCTGCAGGTCTTGCTTCCTTTGTACAGAAACGCAGACAAATACAAGTCTCTGGTTCCTCATCTGGCGCATGCGGTTATAGCGGAGCCGATATGCGTGAAATGACTTGACTGTAAATCCAGTTGGCATCGTGGAGTGCAACTGGCCTTTCAAGAATCTGCTTGGGGCAGCTGAAGAGCTAGCTTGTGCATGTTGCAAAGTAAATGATACCAATATTCGTTGAAGGAGTTCCTGCAGGATATGAATGTTTGCAAGACGGTGGGAGGGTTGTCACAACCGCTTGAACTGTGCGCACCAGCATTAAAGCTAATCATGGAAGTGCACAGCCACACGCCACACAAGCAGATTCTGAATATTCCCGTAACAAGATAACAGTTTCTCCTAGACGTACATTGTAGCATGGCCCGTCTGAAACTGGTGTATCTCTTCTTGCGTGGAGGTTGGCTACTAAAGGCCAAGAATGTGTGCAATAATTGCCAATACTGTGGTGGCATGCAGAAAAAGGAGGCTTAGGTCAGCTTGCAGGTGAAGTGCGTTTTCACTAGGGCATATTGCAGTCAACCTCCCCTACGCACAGCATCAGGCAAGTGGGCAGCTGCCGCCAGGGGCTGAGGGGACTAGAGATAGGGGCGTACTTAAGAAGACATTTCGCAAAAACCAGCTGGCATCCCTTCCCGTCCCCAGGCGTTCTTGGCACAGCGGCTGCAGGGCCAAAGGCTGGGAGGCTGTATTCAATGAGTTGCAACGTAGCTTGCTTCGAACTAGTGCTGCAAGGCAGCCCTGCATGGAAGCCCACCCATGACCCACCTTTTGTAGGCAACGGCACTGTAGACAGCAGTTAATCACTTACTTCGTCCTCAGTTGCCACCCTGCGCGCACGCTGTTGGAACACATGCTCCACCTTGAGGCAGATCCTGCTACAAGGCTCATCTAGTGCTCCATGCCAACCTTGGCTACAAGAGCCACCAGACTCCCCTTGCCGCATGCTTTAACAGCATAAGCAATAGTCGAACGCATACTTGGCTCTCAATAGACAACTCGCGCGTACGCCACAACAACTAGAACTATGAGAGTCAATGCAGAGAGGTTGCTCTCCCGAACACAGCACGATTGTGCCGCTGTGTATGCACCAGAAGACCGGACCCTCGAATGGACGCTCAACTGGGCGATACGTAGGGCGGTCGCAACCTACCAGCCGCGGCAGGACGCTCGTGGGACACACAGCCCGTCAGCCCGTCATCGACTTATGTTGCGGTATCTTCGAATTTCCTCTGTATTTCTTATGATGTATTTTAACGGATGTAGTTCAGGCACATGATATTTTGCTTGTGTGGAGTAGCGACACGACAAAGACTGCCGTACAAGCTTGGAAGTTGGGGCCCGTTCTGGGCGCTGTCTTGACCAGGGGACCATCTACCACAGGATTGCTCGGCTGCGCTGTTGCCTACAGAAAGCCAAAGTGCTCCGCATTAATTGTTTTGAACTGCAACAAACACAAGAGGGACTGCTTGGCTTGGTTTCGGCAGGAGGGACTAGAAGGCTGAGTAATAAGGTCCCTTCCATTTTTCTCCGGTCAGCACCGAACAGAAAATAGGGGCAGCTATTTTACTGCCTAGTGGCCAGCATAGGCAACGGTTCATCGTACAGTGTCTGCTGTGGGTGCTACAGTGTGTTGACCCCTCTGGGGCAGCGCTGCGTTTGCCTAAAACGCGTGCGACTTTATTCACAGCTTTGACGACCAGAGCGGTGTATATTCCAGTACTATCACTTTCTGCATTCCTCTCGAAAGACTTCCCTTTTGCTCCAATGGAAAATTTCGCCGAGAGTCAAGATGGGGATGCACCTCCCTCAGCACGCCCGCATGGCTTGTTTGGTAAGAAGCTCCAGCGGCAAGCAAAACGCCCAGTTGGACATCCTGAGCCCTCAGAGAGCCGCCCTCACCGCCTGTTTGAGGCAGTTGAAACGAAATATGAACAGGGTGGTAATCAGGAGGAAGGCGGGCACGAGAAGGGCCGCCGCCACTTCTTCGCATCTTCTTCAGATGGCAGTTCACTAGGGCCCCGCCAAGAATGCAAGCCCAGAAGTAGCTTCCAAAGGCGAAGCCGCACCAGGGGTCCCTTCACTGCTCATGAAGTAAGGAGACACCAGCAGAGCCAGGAAGTGGAACACCCTCCGGGTTCCCATGGGCCCACCGGCCCATCGATGGCAGCACCGTTCTTGACGGTGGATTGGAAGGAGACAAGAAAAGCGCCGGAGAATACACAGGCGCCTGGGCGGCAACAGCAGGAGCAAGTACAGAAACGCGTCTGGATACAACGCGATAACGGAGAGCGACAAAGGCGAAGCACATGGGGCAGATCACAGCAGTATGTGTGGCGGCCAGTAGCACACGAGAAAGTGGGCCTGGACGCTCAAAATCATGAGCAGCAGCAGCACCAACAGCATCGAAGGGGGCAGCATCACGTTGAGCAGCGCCAAAAGCAGCATGAGCGGCAGCAGCAGCGGCGACAAACGCCTAACCAGAATGTGCAAAGAAGCCACTCGCAGCAGCAACAAGGGCTACAACCTGATTGCCAACAGCTGCGGCAACAGCCACTTGAGGGCCAGCAGCGGAAGACGCGCCACCAACAGCAGCAGCAGCAACAGCAGCAACAGCAACAGCAGCAGCAGCAGCGACAGGGTCAGCAGCCTGTGTCTTCTCGACCGGCTTGCGTGCGACCCCAATTGGATGGAACAACCTCTGCTGTAGTTGTGGAGCTACAGAGACTGCAGCGTCAGTTTAGGAGCTCCTTTTCTCTGTTATCATGTCATCCGTTGCTACTGCCTTTGCTGTTGCAGCACCCGTATGGTGCAAGCAAGCGGAATTCATTACCTTGTGAGGCAGGCCCCTCTCCCCGAAGGAGTTTTCCAGCTGCAGAAACTCACCTCACAATACACGAATCAAGCAATACAGTCTGGGCGGCAGCTAAGGCCCCCCCCGCTGCTTCGTCTACTCTCGATATCTGCAAGAACCTTCAGGACAGCTGCCGAGTTAGCTGTGGGCAGGAGGTAGTTGCTACTGGTGGAGATGCAGCTAGTTGTGAGCCAGAAGCAGCTAGCTCGGTATTGTGCAAGTTTGAGTTGGTGCTGGTCCCAACAGATCCCGAGTTTGATGCGAATCTATTGCCACGTGGGCTGCGTCTGTGTGTGACAATGGGGAAGACGTATCCGGGGGCCGAGGCGGTACTGAAGGAGTCGTCTGGATTCAAGGACGGCTTCATCGATGCAGAAGAAGACGCAGCTGTTGCCACTTCCGCTGCACTTGCTGCAGCTGTCTCCGAAGGGTCCATGAGCAAGCCAAAGCCACAACACGCAGCCAAGGATGATGTCGATTTTGGACCCACTGACCAACAAGTTGCAGCAGCTGATAGAACAACATTAACACCACGTTCAACCGATGAAGGCGGTGGAATTATTTCTAGTGTGTCCTCTAGTGCCAGATTGGAGGACGTCGACCCTCCTGTTAAGAGACTGAGTCGAGAGCCTTCGTCATCTGTAGCTGTTTTAAAAGTCTGCAATGAGGAGATAAACGACTTGCGCCGAGATGCTATAGAATTGGTGTTTTCCAAAGTCGTCGAACAACAGCTCACTAAGCACGAAAAGACAGACATCGTACGTACAGCTATTAAAGCATTGGACAGGCACCTGAGGGGAATATTTGACCTCGAGTTGACTCCCCAGGTTGCATTTTCACAGAGGGAAGAAATGCCTTGGACCGAAGACGAGCAACGGAGGTATGAGCATAGGATTGCTTTGCAATTTCAGCAACGCCTTACATAGCTCCAGGTTTGTAGGCCACCAAGTCTGCTGCGCATATATTGATGTTGTTCGGGGACGCTTGCATTCGCTGTATTTCTTTGCAATCTTCTAGTGATGCTTTTTCTCCATCAAGTACTGGGGTTCTGGCGTACAGAGATAGGCAATAGGGGATGACCTGGTGGCTGTTCACACATGCTAGTGGAAGAGTTTTCTTGTAGATCTTGTTCCAGGACCCGGGCCTGACAGCTTAGGAACGGTGTACCTAAGCTTTCCTTTTACCGATTTTAGCTGTCCGAGGTACGATTGAGTTGCCCTGCGCTCTGACTCAGACTGGAAGAAGCGGTGGTGCTGTACCGTCGGGTAGCGGAGCCAACTTTGCGTTGGCGGAACATCAGCAGCCATGTGGGAAGCCGGACAGCCAAAGAGTGCGCCATTAGATTTCAACTGTGTAGAGAAAAAGTGTTAAGCCAACGCCAACAGGTAAATACGTGTGCGCTTTCATTATGTTCAAATATGCAGATGGGAGAGTACTCACTCTTAATCCTGCCACTTCGTGTCGATTTGTTCGGCGGGTGGTGCAAAGATACGCCAGTACGAATAATGCGTGAAGCTGACAAACGAATTTGCTAGTGCATGCTGTGGATTTGGCTTCTCCAGGTAGCAACGGAAGGCGAAAGTACCAGCAAACTTGACGAAGTGAAAGAGCCTCACGAGAGCACGAGTGAAGCAGTACTTGCCAGTAAAAAGCAAGATGGAGAAGTTCAGCTGGAGGCGGAGGAGGGACGAGCTCAGGCTGTGCGCGGCAGCGATGTTTCTCTGATTGGTAGCAAAACAGAAGGAGTATCGTCTTTGCATCTGAGCTGCATCCAGCTACAAGTCGTCTGTGGCCGATGCAGAGCGGCAGTGGACTTGCGCGTTGCCTTGCCGAAGGATGGAGCCTCTTTGGAGGCTGCAGGTAACTTCTTAAATGCTAAAGATGTTTAAACGCTATCCTCTCTTCGCGGCGTATTATATCCTGACTTTGGCCGATTTTAGTGACCTTTTAGGCATGTTTTTTCCTCCGAAGCGATACGGTGAATGACTCCTGTTAAGTTGGAATGGACACTTGCAATCCATCCCGTGTCGTTGGACAAGTTGCAGCGCTCAGGCTCTCCCTGCACGACACTTTCGAGTTAAATTTAAAACGCGTTATACTTATATGAATACAAGCTAACAAACAGATACTAACTGGCTGTGTACGCTGCAGGCTGCTCGGCGGGCTGCGCCAAATGCCAACTGCGCATGGGCCTAAAAGTACAGCCAGTGATTGGTGTTGCGGGAAGCCAGCTAATGCGGGTGGCGGTTGTACAGCCGTTGGACTGTTATCTCAAGGATTTGCTACCGTGCGATTTCGTTTTGGTGTGTGACTGCTGCGGGGCCAGCATGAAGGCTCGAGAAGTACAAAGTGGTGTGTGGTTAGTGCCTTAGCACTGCGCCAGCTCGTATCTGCGGTGCAGCGTTAACTTGGTTAGGGGTGCTGCACAAAAGAGATGTTTTGTCCATTTTCCGGAAAATTAGAGTTGTACTGTGGCAGCCAAGTCCACGCTTGCGCACAAGCAGTTACCTCCTTGTGCTTCTGAATTTGTGTTGGCAACTCTACAGGTGCGCCACGGACAAATCATTGCCGCCATTGCCACTCGAAAATAACCTTTGGCTTCCAAGGCGCTGCTCTCGGACTTGCAGTAGTGTGCGGCTTAGGCACGGTCGACTCACGGTACGCGGTTAGCAGCATTTGTTTTCCGGCGTGATTGTATGTAATTGCACCGATTGTGAGATTTGCTGAATAGAGGGGCCTAGTTACAAAAGATGGGTGCGCTATTTGTAAGCAACTTCTACAGTGCTATAAGGGGTTGAGCTGTGGACGGAGCAGCTTCACCAGAGTATCAGTAATCCCTCCTCATCCGTGACACCCAGTCCTCTGTGCATTTCTAAGTGGCGCTGCATGCCTAGTTGCTGTTGGTCCTTTCCAGAAGTCGTCCAGCCTGCAGTTCCCAACAGCGACGGCGAAAGCAAGACCTCCGGATAGTTATTGGATCTCCACTAGCAGATTTTGGGACGTGCAAGCACTACAGGAAGTCATTTCGGTGGCTTCGCTTTCCTTGCTGTGGCAAGGCAGGCCATCTGCGTTGTTAGCAAAAGCATGTGGAAATTCTCCTCACATTGTTGTGCTAGCCTCAGTCATGCCTTTGGACGAAAAGGGTCGGCGCCAGCAGCGGGACTGCGGCGGGTGAAAGCAGCGTGAGCTATGGGTGTTTTGAATAGATGCGTATGCTTGTGTCCAGGCATACCCGTGTGATGTTTGCCACGACAGCGCTGAAGACCACGAACACGAATGGGCTACGCGAATGATTTGCGGGTTCTGTTCAGCTGAGCAGCCCTTCGCCAATGGGAAGCTGTGTACCTGCGGGAAGGCACTGACGAAAGACGGCGGCACAGCACACTGGGAGGCAAGTTATTCTGTCGCGTGCACACCCTACGAAGTGCTATTTCTTATGCAAATCAACGCCAAAAATGAGTCGCAAACAGTAGTAATTGCTTCACACGCTTTTTGCGCATCAGGGAGGTAAAGGATGCCGAGACCGGACACGCATGAGCCGAAAAGATTCGAGAAAATACAAATCTGTGAGCAAACATCAGCGCACCACCTGAACGTTTTCCAACTGGCATGCTTGGTGGATCAGCTGCTCTGCTAGAGAGGAGAAGGGCGCGTGGGCGGCGGCTCCTGAGAACGAATGAGGATAGTACTGTTTCGGCCGCAACCTCCTGTCTGACGATCGTCAGGTAGATTGCCGTCACAGTCCCGTTGTGTTACCCGCGAACTTGCCTAGGATTTTTTGATCCTAGTGCAGCTCGCTAAGGTTCGCTAACTGCATAGACGCTTTGTTTCTTTTATTCACCACAGGCGAATAGAACGGTATCTGGTTCCACACCCGTGGCTTGATACTCCGGACCGGAGTGCTGGAGACGCTTGCATTGCCATTGTAAGCAGGTTGACGCATTGAGCTCTTGGGGAATCTCGCGCGTTTTATCTGATGCGCTCTTCGCTAGCTTGGTTGCTCATATCGACCGTGTTGCACAATATGCGGTAATGCGCTGGATAAAAGGCGAGCGCAGCTCATATTCGGTGCAAGAGAAGCTCCCTCAACAACTGTTCGCACAGGAAGGTCAGAAATACTCTCCGCTATTTCCCGCCTTTAGTGCCAGTAGCCGGTGCATCACAGAAATAGGGCTTTAACGACCAGTTCAGCTGCAGATATTCCCTGGGTAATGAACTTCCTGCACAGTTGTTTTGAAATTATCAGCGAAAACAATATTGCCCCAGTCAGGTAGAAGCTCTTCTACATACTGCATAGTGGACGCCACATGGTGACGGGGAGTTCCTCCCACTAGTTTGCCAAAATGCATGGCTCACGCACGACGGAGGTTTCGTAGGTCGCAAGACCCTATTGGAATAATTCAGCGGGACCGGGTGTGTTCAATTTTTTTCTGGCAAGGGAACTGCAGTTTGATTCGTTATATACATTGGGAAACATGTAATACCGCAGCTCCGACAATAGACTAAAAGATCTGCTTTCGAGGAGCGATTGCTTGCGGTACTTTCGGCAGCAGGCAGACAAACCCCGGATGGTGGAGAAAGGATATGCTATACGAGTTGCAGAGGCCTGTTCACAGTTACATGCGGCTACAAAACAGGTGAAGAAAGGCAGCCGCAGCGAGCCAATCGTAGTGTTGATACATGGGGCCAAGAGGACCGCGACTCTATTATACGATCTATGGGCAGGATTTTCTTTCCTCGGCATTTTCGATACGTTCTGGGAGACTGCAAGAACCCATACCTCAAGGTGCTGCCTTTCGGGGGAAAATCCCCAACATAAAAAAATAACATTTCAGAAATTGCCAAATAGTTTATTTTGCAGAAGGTTTGGTAGCCGGAGGCAGAGAGAGCGCAGCGCCGGTGCACGCCCCACCGTGCCTATCCAGCAGTCCGCTCGCCCGCTGGGGTCACCACAAGTTTGGGCAATCCAATCTGTGCAAAGCGCATCAGTTTTTACTGCAAAAGAGGCGAAAATTCTTCGAGGGATCTTGCCTTTTAAAAATTCACACCGTTCACTGGAAATGAGGCCTTTCGGAGCTCTCACGGCGGCAGTGGCGACCTTGGTGCCAGTGGCCTGCAATGCAAAGACAATCATGGATTACCTTCGTACAGATGACCGCTTGTATGAAGCCAGGTCAATTGCTGAAGAAGCAGGTATTCTGGACGACATAGATCCAAGTCGTTTTGGAACCCAACTGACGCTCATGCTCCCGTCAAATGAAGCCTTTGACCAGTTGCATGCTGATCATCCCAAATGGCGCCGAGCGCTCATCAACAACAAGCAAAACGTTGAAACTGTAAGCTTGTGATATGCAAATATATTCTGTCAGCTTCACTTTTGTTCCTGAGTAGAAGGGGTTCACCATCAGGTTGGGGCACATCTGTTGCTGAGTAGAAGGGGTTCCCCATCAGGTTGGGGCACTTCGTAGTTTTCGATTGCTTGCAGCTCATCCTCTTCGCGGCAAGTGATATGGTCGTCACCCCCTCGTCCATTCGCAGCGGCAAATGGGAAGCTGAGGGATCCATTGTTTCACTGCTCTCTGAGACTGCCAGCATTGCTCCCGATGGCTATGTGAGAGCATGATGAAAACAGAGCAGCGTGCAGAACGGCTGGGGGCACTATGCACACTAGGTAAGATATATCTTTGACGTCCTTTTGTAGAGTCAGGTTTTGTGGCATTTTCAGGTCTGCGTCAGCGACTACACGAGGACTGCCGCTTGCGATGACCCAGACAGCTTACCTTGTTGCGGTATGGTAGATCTCGACAACGTAATACAGGCCGAAGATGGATATATCTACCTTGTCGACACTGTTATGATGCCTCAAGAGATTGTCGACAAACTTCCATGAAGAGTCGGCATTTCCGTGCAACAACTTAATGCAGTTGAGCATACTGAATGGTGCTGCGTCGGCACTAGGGTAGCTTTCATGAACTGCACGAACGTTCAAATAGATACTGTTCATTCTGCCCTTAATGGGCTTGAGGTATGACATGCACGAACTTCAATTTACTTCTCTAAGGTATGGTTACTCTCTGCGTGTGGGGAAGCTGCTACAGTAACGTCAAGCATTGCACTATTAAGAGCTCAACTCCGGAGCAAAAAAAAAATTATCGAGCGCTTCGCAAAAACTGCGAAGAAAACTGGCCGTTCTCGTTTTTAGCCAGGGAGGGAGAAGAGGCGATCCTGTTGCCTCTGTCCTCGTGTGGCTCTTCCAACAATGGCAACTCCTTGTTTCGCCACAAACGCGAACGGTAAAGATTTGTAAAAATTGTGCTTGTAAAAGACTTTTATTCAGTGCGAGCTTTGTCTCAGATTCTGGACACGTTTGATGCGTGCGAGGAATGGGCTCTTCTGCACGAAGGCCACCCCTTGTGGACTCTTTGTTGTGACAAGCAGATAGCGGGAGCTGCCCAAAAGCGTTGCCAGTGTATCACTCTCTGCATCTACTGGAAGTGGGTCATCACACGTAAAAGGCGCTTGCGGATTGGTGACGAGGCATGACTGTATTTTTGAAACAACATCCCAACCGACTGTCTTGCCAATCAGTCCTGTAAGTGGCTGCTTGACAGCATTCTCTTCCATATTGTGGACATGGAAAAGTTTTCTGCCTCCTGCAGTGGGCACTTGCACCTGAAAAACAAGAACGCATGGACGTGCAAGAAAATTTATCGACAATATGGAGAGGTGTTACACAAGTAGGAAGGGAAAACCAATTGAATTCAACACAGTGGCCATGATGATTCCAACAATTTCTGGGAACAAAGACCGAAATTGGGAACCTGGGTATTTACACCTACTGCAGGCTCGTGGAAAAGATATCCAACTTCGAAATCCTAAAAAAACATCAATCACACCAAAGCCGAACAAAATTATCGTCTTTTTGACCCACGCTCGCCGTCAGTAAACGGCTATCCAATCCTAGTACTTTGACTTGACTTACATTTGGTCGTGTGTTTGACAGCATTTCCTTAACCTGGAGACAAAACCACAGATGCCTAGCTAAATGTGTTCATGTCGTTCCTTTTGCTATTTCCTCAGCTGTAGTGCTTTGGATACAGCTGACGCGCAAGTAGGAACCATTCGTACCTTCTGGTCTAGTGGAATTATAACAATGCAATCCCTGCCTTTGGGAACCGGAATGTTGCCAAGCTTTGTGCTCATCACCATGTAGTAGGGGAATTCTGTTTTCGGAACGCAGCCGGACGGCGTCTGTGTCCCCCAGAATACGCGGCTCCAGGTTGCCTTTGTCGTAACGTTTTCGCGGAGGAATACACGTACCAACTTCTCTCCGGCTTCTGCCAGATCTGTGCGTTTTCCTCCGGGCCCTTGAATGAAGAATCCAGGTACTGTGGAAGCCTGGTAAGCAACAAGCAGTCAAGGAAAGGGCTAGCTCTTTGCAAAGAGGAAAACACCAGAGTTTCCTATTCCTTTCAACTTGAGCGTTATACCAGAGGAGGGGAGAGCTTACAGGTTCTCCAGAAAGAGTTCCCCAGGTCTGCTGTGTAGGAAGCGTGACACCGGCTGGAGTCCCTGATGCGGGTGACGGCCTGACCTCCGGAATGCTTTGTGTGCGGGCGACCTGCAAGAAATGAAAATGCAAAGCGTCAGGATTAGATCACAGCGTAGCATTTCATTTCCGTGCATTCGAGGGCAGGAGATGCTCTGATTGTTCACCTGTATACTCATTGAGACATGCTTAATGTGCTCATGCTGAGCCTGTTCCGGGACAAGCTGCCATAAGGAAACAGTCGACAGCATCTGCTGTGCATCCTCTGTAGTTCCCAGCGGTGTATCGACGGAGAAAGAAGTTCCATCTCGCCTTGTAAAAACACTGTGAAGCATTACACGCTGATTTGGAACTTGGGCGGCCTGCAGCATACTTCCTAACCGTTGCCCCATCTTCCGGAGAAGATCATCTATACTGCTTGTATCCGTGGAGCTGATGAATCGCAAAGGGAGTTTTATATTTTCACCGAGGATGCCAAGGTCTACAGAGCCATCTTCCACCTGCAGAGAAAGCAAACAACAGGCTATGGGATGAGGTATCAGCTTACGAGCATGATTGGGAAGCACTGAGAAATAGGCACTTGCCCTCTTCCAAACGGATGACGGAAAACCTACCGGAATTGTCCCCGGTGCCTGCAAAACAACGAAACACATTTAATGCTCTAGCCACAGAGTGATAAGCACCGGTCTATTTTTACCCACGGTTGCTTAACAACTACTGAAACAGCGGGGCTTTGACGTGAGCAACTTACTTTTGACACAACTTTCACATCGGCAATGCCAGAAAGCGCGACGTTGAGGTGCTCCAGCATACGCTGTATTGTCTTTTCTTTGTCGCTAGGCGTGATAGGTACCGTTACTTTTCTCGCGGTAGGCCCTGTGCCCGTGAATACGACGAGGTACGACCCTTCAGGCAACGATCCAGCCGGTGTACTAAGGAGAGCATTGATAGCGGCGTTTGGGTGCTAAAAAACATCGGCAGGCAGCACACGGAACATAACGACTGCTTTACCAAAATCTTGTAGGATACAGCGGCCGTACTTCACACTACCCCAATCATTTCTACCACGTTGTGCCGCATGTGGTAGGCTTTATTTACCTTAAAATCCGTCGATCCCGTTGCCTGAAACGTTTGGCACACAAGAAAACGTAAAACGTCATCCCCATATATGACGCTAGGCGTTAGGGTGTAGGGACAGATATCACAAGGACAAGGAGCAGGACGAGTTTGTGTAGTATACCTGCGTATCTATTTGAATAGTTTGCCCCGGAGCAACCTTGCTGACTTGCTTTAACGAGTTGAGGAAGGCAAGAACCAAAGATAGCCCAGGATTTCCGTGCATCTCCGCTACTTCTTGCAGAAGACGAATAAAATCTGCGGGGATCAACTGCTGGGCGCCTTCGCCGCCGGGTCCAGTGATGTTAAACTTGTAATCCGTCGGTGCTTGCCCTTTCCCTGGCACCTGAATGTTTAAAATCTTGGCAAAGTCTACTGGAGAACCCGGCGACTCATCATAAACCGTTCCATTCACTACTAAGTTCTGTTCGGAAATCACAGACAATGCAGAAAAACAAAAGATTGCAGCGGCTGACAGCTGTAATTATCCGTTGCTTCAGTGGGCAATGCGTCAAAGGTCTTCTTCGGATGGACGCATGAAGGCTCACCATCCGTTGGCTGGGTGAAGCCTTTTTAGCAGTTATTCCTGGAGCAGGTTGGCCCTGTATCACGAAGGAAACAGAGGCAAATATTGGAAGTTGGCGCATCTTACATAGGGGAGAAAGGGGTAGGTACGATAACAATAACGCACAGGGGGACGAGGAATGAATGGCTTACAATGAGGACTATGTCGTGAGAATCATCGAGGTCTACGGCACCGCCAAGTCCCAGCAGGCTGCCAACGGTATGCCCCAGAAGCTGCGCAGCACTTAGGAGGGCTCTGTATGCAACGCCGTCAATGACGATGGTAATGCGAATAGATTGTGTGTCTTCAATGCCCAGTACGTCCTTAAACCATGTAACGACTTCTCCGAAAGAAGCATCCAAGTGGCCGGTTTTGCTTGTAAACGGCACGGCTGTTCCCGCAGTTGCCGTAATCTGGAAAAGAAAGACGAAGTGTGCTAGCAACAGTGTACATGCCAGCAAAATTCGAGCTGCAAGGCGTGTGGTGCCGGAAATGTACTTCAAGTGTGTAAGGGTAGATGTGGATCGCAACGTACCTTATACTCGGGTTTGCTCTTCTGGTGCTGAAGGAAAAAAACCGCATACGCAACAAACGAGCCGAAGGATAGCTTAATGCACTATCAAACGCATGGGGCTGTGAGAGCTTTATGTGCTGTATGGATATCTTACAACTGTGATGCTTGGGTTATGAAGCATCTTCACAACGCTTTCCACTGGCATTGTTTCCGGAACCGCCCCATGGGCAAACGGCACTCTGGTACCAAAGTTGATCGGGTATCCGTCTTTTCCAATAGTTTCTGGACTGAACAACTCGAGCTCAATATGTGGTCTAGGAGCTCCGGGAGGTGTGGGGCCTCCAATCCGTATATCGGTGGAAGGGATCTTCATTCCTGTAGGGCCTTCAATCTCTCCAGTGATCTTTCCGACAAGTTGGGAGAATGGAGTGCTTCCGCTGATGTTTAAGCTAGCCAACAGCTCGGCAAGTGTCCCCGCATTTGTTTCCTGTTGCAAGGAAATCACGCAGCTGTTGGCTTTGTCAAATGTAGCTTAGCCATACAGCCTAAAGTGCAACAGCAGTGCAGCAAGGATGTGGCATCTGGGCTTCAGAGATACTTACGGCATAGTGTCCAGCAGGCTTCGCGATTGTCTGCACATCATACGCAAAAGGCCAAATTATAGAAGATGACTTTACTTGCCATTTGCAACAAGAAAAACCTAGTAGGAGCCATGTGCTATTGTTTGTACCTTTAAGGTAATGCGAACGAGACCCGGGATTTGCGGGGCAGGCAAATGCTTCCATTCGTTTGGTATCTGTGAGAAGTTTAATTTGGAGCCATCCGCCATCTCCAGAATAATTTCTAGGGTCATGCCAGGCTTCTGGCTGGCCAAAAGGTTGCCAAGTACAAGAGCGAGCGGCTCTCCAGAAAAGACGTCTTGCGGATCAACTCCGTGGTGTGTCTTCATGAAAGTTGTTTTCAAGTTTTCTGGCATGATAATCTGAACCTGAAGAACATGAAGCATAGATTTTGCCGCACACTATACTAAGCGCGGTGATTGCCTCCTAGGACTTCACTAACTGGTGTTTCTTCGTTGGAACCGATGAAGGGGAGGACTAAACGTACTGGAGGAAGGAAGTAAACCGGCTGCAGGGAAAACGTTGAGCACACGCAAGGGTAAATATTTTGCAATCAGTCTATGTCTAAATGCATTCTGCAAGTGCCTCAAAAGGGCGAGCGTTAGTGACCAAAGGGTCAGGACGCGAACGCACCTGGACTCTTCCGACAATTTGAGTAGGGCGGGTGCCTTCAAATGTTGCAGAGCAAAACCTAGCAAGTTCCACCCAAGATGCGAGACCCTGCAGCATCTGGCGAGTTACGACGCATTCATTCGAGTTTGCGAATGCGAAAACCATTTGATCCTCCGGATGGCCTCCTTCAAGGATTGGCCCTATATATCTCATGGGATTGTCATCCCAAGGAGCAGTATAGTAGTGAGGAGTTTGCACTCGGTCTATCAAGATGACCTGAGGGTGAAGCATAAAATGTTATACAGGGGGCACACTTTTGGGAACGGAAACATATATTCCATAGCCTATAACGTCAAGTCCAAGCAAGTCGCATTTAAGCAGCCTCTTACCGGTACCGCAGGTCTTGCTGGGGCGTAGTTTGGAGTTGTCCCCTGCAAGCATGAGATGCGCATGTGCTTGCAGGCTTTGCGGTAAAGTGGAGAGAGCTTATCTACTGGGGTGTGGTATTCTAGGACGGACACTCTAGCTTGCATGGCGGTTAACTAATTGAATGGTCTTATCGAAATTTGTTTGCATTTACTGCAGCCACATACCGGGCTAAATGAGGAGACCATTATGTCTGAGTCCAATAGCTCAACAGGGATTCCACAAAGCCTAGCAGCTTCTTCCTTTTTTTTCAAGTTTAGGAATTGCTGCACTGTAATTCCCGGACAGAAGAAGTATCTCCCATTGCCTGCCGGAGCTTGAACGTATACAAGTTCGCCGGTTGGTGGAGCAGGCTTGCTCAAGTTGAAGACAAGATTTAAGTTACTGTATAAATCGGGCATGTGCGAGAACCCGGGGATCTCAACAGCTTGGCGAAGCGGATTAACAAATGCCCTGCCAGTTTCCTCTTGTTCTGGATCAGGGGCAAAATTAAATTCTCCAATTGTGCCACTAGGTACCATCGTTGTTCCAGGATCAATTCTTCTTCCCCAACGCTCTGGCACGGAGCCAAAGTAATCAATGTGAGTGTTTATGTTCCCGGAAGGTGCTGGCACTTTTTGAACAAACGTGGATCCAGGTACATTAGCTCCAGGCTGCTGAACGATGTTAAAATAGATATCCCTTGGAAGGATGTCTGAGAGGGGCGCGCCAGGGCGCCTGAACGTGAAGCCAAGTGGCAGATCATTTTGGAAGGAGACAACTGGTGTACCCTGTTGGACGCAGCACACACTTGTCCAAAGCTGATATAGCCCACGTCACGTGAAGGATATCCGTTTCAAAGATATACCACAGGCGCACCGCAAATTAGTTACAGCAAAGTAGAAGAATGTCCTACATGTGGTTTCGTTTACCGGTTGGGATGGAGGATACATTGCTGTTTGGGTGCCCTCGATCCAGAGAAATGGTGAGGTCAAACCGCGTAGATCTTGGAACCTCAAATTACACCATTGCAATACTCTTTCCCAAGTGAGGTCCTTGAAATCTTCTGCCGTGCGGAGGCTGCAGGGACTGCCACTTATTTGTTGAGTAGGACTGTACAAGCTGTACGATAACGAATAGTCTCCATTTGGAAGTTCTATATTTACAGGCGTTTGAGGGTTGCCATGGGCAGACATATTGCGAGAAATCCTAGAGCCGTTGGCTCTGGCAATGTCAATCTGCAAAAATCAGATGAATTAAGGAATCGCATACATTTTTGTATAGACCAGGATCCCCGATTACGGCGATTCAATGCTGAAAATCAAATTACTGTAGATAAAATTATTCTACCAACGTACCGTTACCACTCCCTCACGCTGCGAAAGAACACACAAAAACGCAGTTGTTTGATAGCTCGTTACGAGGATGCAGAACAAGTGTTGTTCTAAATTTTGGCACGGTGTTGTTCAGGCGGAGGCAGCGGATCTGCTTACCAGCAACACCTTGTCTTGTTCGGTAGGCTGCAAGAAGAAAACACAGGACAAACTCCATCCGGAAGATATGGTTCGAATATCAAATGCCTCATTGGGAAGATCATGGGATTGGCCATTAGGGCTGCCCACTGCTTGGCCTTTTGCTTACTTCGTGTAGAATCATTATATTTAGCCTTCCAGTGAGCCTTGCTATATCTTCAGCCGGAACACCTAAGACTGCCAAAATTTCTCGAACAAGGGCAGCATCACGAGGTTTGCCACTCTGCAAAAGAATCCTAATTTGGCGGATTTGCTCTGGTGTCATCCGTCCTCTATTCTTGGCAAACTTCCACTGTATGTGGCTGTCATCATGCACTTTCGCAAACGCAACGGTAAGTCGCTCCAAGTATCGCCTATTCTTCTCAGGGTCACCATGTGCACGGTTCCACAGACGGAAGCCCTGTGTACAAAATTGTCTCGCACAATTCAAGATCTGTTTGATGCCTTGCAGTCTCTGGTTAAGACTCCTACAACCAAATAAGCGGTGGGAGAAACTGAATGAATGAATCTTACTGAAGGCGGTGGTGATCTGATCCCTAGTTCGAATTGAAACGGTTGCCTCTTCGTCATCGCCCTCAGAAGTCCGGGACAGATCTTAAGTAGATTCTCCATGTCATTTATGAACTCAAGAAGATCTCCGAATGTCGCAACTTGGCATCTGCTCTTTCTATAAGCAGGATTTTCCTCCTTTTCGTTGCGAACAGTGAGTTGGATTTTTGTGTCGTTTAATGTCCCAAATCCTCGCATGCGCGACAACCACGGGGCCAACAAGCTCCTCCAGTGTAAAGGATCGGCTACCTGAGAACAACAAATTGAACGGATCCTGGAAATTCGTGGCTTGGTTGAGTTATCAAGCAAAGCAGGTCCAGCAAAGAGTACAGCCAGGCCAACTTACGTGGACTGAGAAGAGTAGCGCTTTCTGTAGGAAAGAGGACACCACACAGAACATAATTTTCATTTGGAAGGACACAGAATCTTACCCAGCTGAAGGGTGAAAGTTGTTGGGCGGGATAAGCCCTCAACTAGAGCAGATGACCGAGGTGGGACGTACCTCTCCCGCAGCAGCTTCTTCCTTTTCCTTCGCCTTGGCTTCACCTTCTGCCCTTATGTCCGCTAGCGTCCGTTTCCACTGAATATTCGCAAGCGGATACGCATCGTAAATTGTTGAGTCTCTGCGTTTCAGTGTCTTTCTGATGTGGCAAAATTGATTGTTGCGATATCTTACTCCGAACATGAACATTCGCGCCTTTTCTGAAGCTATTTGGCGAAGGTTCTCAACAGACACTCGTAGCTTTTCCCCTGATGTTGTGAGGAGGAAAATCAAGTCTTGCTCCCCATATCCGCCCTGTGAAGTCAGTACGCGGGCAAGCTCAGCGGGGCTGATGCCGATGGACCCATCGCTGCGAGAGCAGACTGCTTGGAGGGCAACTTTCAGAGAGGGTAGCTCTGCCTTCGTCGTGTCCATCACAACGCGCGGGTACCCTTCAAATGTGAAAAAGCTCCTGGGGATATGATAGAGCTTCGAAAGCTGAGATGCAACACTGCGCTTCCCTCCAATAGTCAATCCTGTAGCGAAATCTAGCGGTAATTCGACATCAACTCCTGAGTCAGAAGATGACTCCTCGTTCTCAACATCAAATACAACCTTTACCTTCACCTGCACAAATCATCACTTCAAGCTAACCCAACAATCTAGTAGCTGCACTATGCTGCATCTCTTAGTGGTGGACTCTCCGTCCTCGTCCAACTTATTGCTCACCTTGACTTGGGCAGCTGCTTTTTCCGCTTTCTTCTCCACTTTCACCTTGTGCTTCATGCGCTTCCTCTCCTCCCGTCGTTCTTCCATTCCCTGAAACAGAACCGCCAGAGGCCGAAGATGCTGAAGTGCCGCCTAGAACAAGTGCAACTAGCATAGTGGTATACATAGCTGGAGTTGAAAGCTTACCAGCACCCGAAATGTAATGTTATAGACATTAGCGAAGTCCAGCGTTGCAGCTTCTGATGACTGACGAGTCGCGTCATGGTAAACCTTCCAAAATTCGTCGGAAAGTCTTAGCTCAGGATTCCGTATGGGCACTGTCAAGTCCCTCTCGACACCCCTTTCTTTGACGTGGAAGAATGTGAGAGATGATGGAACCGCCCACTTTGTTTCTTTTGCCAAAATCCTCTTGATTTGTTGCCGAATCGCCTGCATAGAATCGTAGTCTTCAGCCGTCTTGTCTGGCTTCGCTCTTAAGTTCTCAACTTGAGCTTTCAGTTTCGCGATCTCAGCTTGCGAAGTAGCCGGATCGGGCAAGTTCAACTGTCTCAGCACGTCGGGCCGATTCGTGGCTATGTACTTCCTTATAATTGCAAGAAGGTCACGAAGCTTGGCGGGTCGGACGAGGTCAGCTCCCCTCAAAGTTTGTTCCATAAAGCGTTGTACTTCATCAACATGTGCGCTACGCATCTGTTCACCAAACCGCAGCTCAGGTTGGTAGTGCTTAGCTAAAATTTAAAAAAATTCACCTTAGCATTGGATATGTACCGAACAGAATACTGTAACTTACATCGGCGGCATTGCACTGTTTCTCCCATCTTGCAGCACGTTCCGAAATGCCCTTGATCTTTCCACAAAATACAGTGTGCATTGAAACAACAAGGCACTTATTCGTTTCCACGTCTGGGCGGTAGCATGTGGTAAATGTCCCGGAAGGAGTCTCCAGAGAAATTTCAAGACCCTGGTAGAAGCGAAAGCATCGGCATTGATAGAAATGTGAAGCAAATTATAGCAAATTATATGTGCGTGTTGATCAGAAGGTATAAGAAAGCATAAGTATCCCTAAACCTTAAAGAACAGGGGAAGATTTCCTACTTGCGTAAAAAAAAGAATCTCACCTTACGGCGCTGTTCCACAGCTTCTTTAACTCCAACATAGATGGGAGAGTCCGGTCGAACTGCAACGGGGTTCCCTTCACCATCGAACAGCGAAAGTTTTGTTTTTTCTCTATCGAATCGCGGGAATCTGTGGAAAAAGCTATCTGAAGCTGTACCCCATGACTCTCCAGGCCGAATCGGGACAGTGTATGCTTCTTGCCCTCCGCCGGGTGTGGTGACAATAAAATCGAGGTCACCCTGCAGAAAATCAGCGGTGCGCATAACAGTCAGGTTTGATGGCGCTAGCGCTAAACTGGAAATTCACGTCCAACGGGGTGTAGCTGTCTTTAGTGAGCTCTACCGCATATCTCACCTCTACGAACATATTCTTGATTGGCAAGTTCAAAAGGTGGTAGGGTAATTGGAATTCAGCAGGGTTCAAGGTTTTCCAATTAGGTGTGTGGATAAGTGGCTTGAGAATATCGGATAGCTTAATCTTCTCTCCACCCTCAACCTCAACGATGATTTTGCTGAAGAGAGAATTCCGGTCTTCGGCAGGCAGACTCTCAAGGTCTACAGGGAGCTTCAAGTTCGGAATGTGGTGTGTGAGCCATCGATGAATCACTGTGAAAGGGCCCGAAAGTGCCGCTGTTCCCGGGCGCAGCGGAATGTTCACTGTCTCTCCCGTCTTGTGAGGCCCATTTTCATCAGTAAACGTGTCTTGTTCACCGAGTATCGGGAACTGAATCACACAAAAGGAAGTTTTCCGCAGTGTAGGGGAACCCACCTCTGCAACAGGATCTGGACGAGCTCGATTGCACGGATTCTCTACGGCCTCTAATCTGTGTCGTCAGCGGGGCCTACCTGAGGGTGCCAGATGAGTTTTACGTTTCTTGGCCTTTCATGATAAAAGCTTTCGGGTATATATCCGTGCGGTAATGCACTGGATTCTGGCTTGCCTGCGTGCTGGACGTACGGAAACTCTATGATTGGCACTCTGAATTTCGAAAATGGCTTTTGGAAATCCACTAACAAGTCGGGATACCTTTCATTCATCTTCACCCTGGATGTTACCGTTTTGATACTGGGCTTTCTTTCCCGACCTTCCCTGTCGAATCTCGGAATTTCCACATTGCCCTTGAGTAGGTGCTGAAACACGCAAGCATCATTAGGTACTAGATGAGATAAACTGTAAAATGTTCCCTACACTTGACTTAACTTAGAACCGTTGAATACGTACCGTTGCGCTGAAGTATAGAGCAAGAGGCTCGCCTCTTCTATGGGCCTCCGTAAATATGGCGCCTAGGCGTTTGCACTCAGCTGAAGAGCCCTTGAAGTTGAGTTGTTGCCTGTTGACTGTCTTGAGTTCCGGCTCGCGCTGAGTTACATTGGCTACAGCAGTGATGGTTTCGAACCGCAATCCTTTGGCGTTTACAATGTTGCATCCCTTGGGCGACTCCGCTGTTTGGCGCGCTTTTTTCAAGAGAGATTTGATAACAATCGTGTTTCGTCTGGTAATTGGAATGTCGTATTGAAAAATGCACCACGGCTGCACACCTTCAGGCGTTTCCAAAATAAATATGGACTGCACTGAACGGGGCACACTTGCTCCGAAATTGAGGGTGAGGTCGTTGAGAACAAATGATGGATCCTCATTGGCTAGGTGCGCCAGTAAGTCGAGAAGCGTGGGGTGCTTTTCGACGAATTCTGCCACCAGCGGATACACCTTTCCGTTCACGCTTACGCTCAGGAGAGCGCCTTGCTTTTCAGTCTCTTTCGGAGCCAGAGTGGCTCGCAAATCCGGGTATCGTTTTTCAATTTTATGCCATTCGCGTAGTGGACTGATTATGTGTTTAGCCTCAGATCCTCCAGGAAAAACAATCTTTGCGACCACCTGTAAAGAAAGACACGTAATAGTATCGCAAATAGCTTTTTCACCACCCTCGTTCAGGCAATATATCGTGAGATGCGCTGTGGAAACTGGTTGTTAGATTTCACTTACCGCTGGTGAAAACTGTCCCGCCACGTAATCGGGAACCTTCTCCACCGGTGTCGTACGCGTGCCAAAAAGGGAAAGATAGTCCGGTTGTTTATTTGCACCAAATGGTTGGCCAGCATGGTCGAAGAAAAGGATTGGGGGGGTTCCAGCAGTGTATCCAGGGCCAAAAAGCCCTGAAACATTTAGCTGCCCAGGCGTTACTCCTGTGGCACCTTGCTGCCTTCCCTTTAGCCAGAGCTCATATTGCTGTGCAGGTGAGAGCCCAAACCAAGAGGCGGGTACACTAAACTTCTCTGTTTTCAACCCGGGCACTGTTGCTTCGAAGGCGCTGACAGGAGTATGTCCCCTTGCTGATTCATCGACCAAACCCTTTAGCTTTAGCAACATAGGCCAACTCAGATCGTCAACGTAGGGAAACTCAATGACGGCCTGTGGAGGAATGCGCAGGAAGCAACAGTGCCTAAGCGTATACACAAGCTGGAAGTAGATAATTGTGCCGCTGGTGAAACCGTGCAATGGCGTTTTTGTTAAAAACAGGGCAAGCACTAGCTTACATTCCTTTCCAAGTCCCCAGCAACAGATAAAACAGGCTCTTTTCTTGTGGCGACTTGCTGCAACCACTGCAGTGCTCGCTCTTCGCCTTTGACTTCAAATCGTTGCTTTCCCGTGCCCGCCAACTTTAACGAAACTATTCGGAAAGCCGATCCTTGCTTGAGGAGAGGTGGATGAGCGTTTGAGGCCAGCCAATCTTTGAACTCCTCTAGGGTCTTAAACAGCAGCAGCGTTTCCTTCGGAATTGTGGCAGTTACAATATCGACGCTTTCGCGTGTGCCCACCACATGCTTGAAGCTGCACGTTATGGTTACCTGGTCACAATCGAAGCATATGAAAAGTTTGCAAAGATAGGAATGCTTGCGCAAAAACACTTTAGACGTGAGACTCTCGTGGGGAAGTGGGCGCTTACCGTTGGCTTGCTAGCGGCAGCACTGTAGCTGGATTCCAGCTTCAGCTTCAACTTTCCTGATGTTGGAGAAATGGCTACCCATGTCAGCTCAAACTGGGCTTCTGGATTTGCAGCTAGGGCGGAGAGGTCCTGAAGCAGCTTTGTCTTTTCTGCAGTGGTCGTGGTGAGATTAAATACGCCCACGGCTGCACCTCCCCTAAAGGCTGCAACTTGGATCACCCTGGTACCCTGAATCACGGAGGAGCTGACCGATATCTTAATTCCTCTCAAGACAGTAGTGCCATGCGAAAAGTCCGATGCCTGAGAACGCATGTAAGCCGGTGTGACGGTGAAATGAGAAACCATCGCGTCCCTAGTTAAGGCTAGGCTTACGGGCCAAACAGGTGAGACAGCGCTACAGCAGGAAATTGTGCATATTTGCCTAAACTGGATCTGGGCCGCATTAAATACCGTGATGGAATCGTATGTTCTTTGCTACGGGCGCGCGAAGGAGTCGCGTGTGCTCGAGTTACCGGCGACTGTGGAGGTGCCTGTCGTGAAACACCTTCAGGTGCCTGTGCAACACTCTCCCCAGAGGTAGCTGAAGGCGTTTGTAGTGAGCCCTCGCCAGCTGTTGCGAAGTCTGCGCCACCTCCTCGAGATGCAGCTGCAGCATTTTGAACAAGGCTTGGTGGTGAAGAACCGTCTGGCGGCACTAGTTGCGCCTCCCCGAGGGCGATATCATGGGTGAAAAATGACTCCACTGAGGAGGGCTCCGACTCCCACGTTAAATTCTGAAATATGCGCAACCCGCAACTATCATGAATTCAAAGACTCCGCGAGTGTTTCGTAATGTTGTATTTCCGATGGCACTGCGAAGCAGCCAAAAATATATTTGTTTCCCGCAAAATGTGTATGCTTACCTCGGTTTTAGGTGATACTTCGGAGCCTCTTTGCATGGGCGAACCTGGGAGAGCGAATACAGAGTTATGTCAAGTTAAGTTAGTGCAGGACTATCTATGTTGTGCTTGCGAAGTCACCAATTCCTTTTAGATGTCAGCAATCTAATAATGGCCATTCCCAAAGCATTGTTTTCCTCACCTTGTAGGTTTTCAGCGCTGGTATACGTAGCTAAGGCCGCAATAATTCCGCATAGCACCGCCGCCAAAGTCTTCTTCCCGAACGAGCGGTGTCTTTGTGTTTGCATACTAGACGCTTGCCCCGGGCTGGAATCCCGCACGCAGCGTGGCCAGTAAACAGATGCACACGGTGAGGGGGAAGACCCCATTTTTCTGGGGAGGTTCTTAACCCCCTCACATTGTGGAGCCATTCGGAAGGTCTCCTCAAGATAGTTCGACTGGCTGAAAACCGGGAGAAGTATCCCCGGACAATACTGGAACCTCCCTGGGTTCCCTTTGAAGATGTATTTGTTCAGTTGAGTTAGACTGACCAACCAGGAGGGAAACTGCAAGACGGGAGAAGACCTGGTGCTTGAAACCCTTGACCAGGAAGCTCGCCGAGCTTCCTGGTGGCCCTCCTGGGTTTTCCCCGCTGGGCGTGATTTTCTTTCACGCAACGACCGTGTCTATGAGGTAGCAAGCTCAAAACCAGAGATTAGCTTCCAAAACAAACTGTTTTTCAAAAAAATCAATTTATCTACGTGAATGGGACAAAACAGCTCTGGAGAGACAGATCACTCAGAGACTGTTGGCTCATAAAGTCCCAAAGTATGTTTGCCGCCTTTCAGTGACGAGAAATATGTCCACGCGGTCAATTGAATGGCTTCAAAAACCCAAATATATAATATGATGCCCAAGTAACAATGTATTGTGGAAGGAGGTCCACCGGTTTCCAGCCAGCCAATGTCGCGGCAACCGCGCTGGGGCCCCTGGGCCGATGGTTTGGACAGCGGCCAAACCACCGCGACCACCAAGCTCCGATATTTCCCACCTCCGTTAATTGAGCCATAATCAGCATTGCATGCAATAGTAGTTTATTCACGAACTTGCATATCTTTTTGCTGCTAGTTAATGGAAATCGGCGGTGATTCTTACCCTTTCAGTGGAGACTTCTCGTCGCCGTGGGCAAGACAGCAGCGGTGAGCGCGGGAGTCAGCCACCGAAAAGGGCCAGATAGCAATGGAGGCCCCTTACTTATTCAGAGACATACTTTTCCGTTATTATGTTTAGCTTTATCTGGGCAAGAATCTATGGGGACGCACTAGACACGCATACGCAAATGCGATGTAGGCCAGCCTCGACGCAACCATACTCCTGCAACTAGACGAGCCGTTCTTCAACGATGTGGAACAAAGAAACCGGATTTATACACAAAAATTGAGTACTCTGCGAACTAGAGAGAAGTTTCTTTATTTAGGTGGCCAACGCCTGTACGACGGTCCACTGAGCCCTTGTGACCTGAAGGGCGGGCCCGCTTAGTTGCGGGGATCCGAGGCCCGGCATTGCACCTGTGTGACGATATCCCACTTAAAACCTGCCAGGTAGTGGTAACTAGCAAGAAGCTTCCTGTTTATTGTGCCTTTCGGTCTTGGAATACCGAGCTGCCGTTGCTTGTCGAGATGTTCCAGGCCCGTAGTTGAATCTGCGCATCAGATTGTTTGATGCTCTGTCAAATAGAAATCTGGTGAAGAGATATATAGGTGACCATCATGTTTGGGATAGTCATCAATGCCCACGTGGAGCATAAGCTTGCTGTCCGAGTTAGCGGCAAGAGGCAAAAAAAATGCTGCATGCCCCTTTCCTCTACGAACAGACGCTTTTAGTGTAAAAAGGCTAAAAGCAGAATCAACGAAAAGGTGATAAAATTCCGATGGGGCATCCTTCGTAAGGGTCATATTTCGTGGTTTTGGCTGGACTCGCTGGCAACATACCAGCGCGAACAGCTTCTACGCCAGGGAACTGAAGTTACACTTTTACTGTATGGGCGAAATGCAGCTCACCCCGCGCGGTGTAAATAGCCACTTACGAGTGCCACTCTCCCACAGGCAAATGCGGCAACTCCACTGACGTCGAAACGCAAGGCTGCTGTGCGCTTTACTGATCAAACTGAGGGCCGATGCCCCTGGCCGCCTGTTCCTTCTCGAACTCTGTTCCCTCACAGTCACCTCCATCCCATCTGCTCGGCTTGTTGTAGCAATTAGCGTCGCAGTGCCCGTCTCCTATCCACTCTTTGGCACAGAATTGGTACACCGCTTCGGGCTTTACGGAGTAATCTACTTCCACCACTGCAGTGATATTATCGCAGTCTCCTTTGTCATACCCGCATGCGGCATTATTGCATTGTTTGTCACAGACACCATTGCCAATCATCCAAAGTCGGCAAGAGGAGTCACATGCATCTGCATTTCCATTTTCTTTGCGTATCGCTTGCAAAGTAGCGTTCGTCTTGCTGTCGCAATCGCCTTTGTCATACCCGCATTCGGCGGTGTCACACTCGCGGTCGCAGTCTCCGTCACCCAACCAGGACTTCGAACACTTAGCGTTACACATGTCAAGGCATTCGCCGCCATCGAAAAGACACTCAGGTACGTTACACTCTGCTGTACACGAACCGTTCACTAGAAGCCTGCGCTCACACTTGCACTCCGGCAGCTGAAGACGGTGCTGATGTAGCTGTTTCAGCTTCTGCTGCAGTGTTCGGCGATCTACTGGCTGCACACCCTGGTCCCTCCATCCTAAGCAGTCACCTCGATCCCAGTTGCATGCGGGTACATAGCATGCAGCATCGCAGTAGCCGTCACCTTCCCAGGAAGGCTTGCAATCTCCCGAACACCATCCTAGACAGTCCCCTTCGTCAAAGTGACAAGCCTCCGTATTGCAAGCGCTGTCACACCAGCCGTCGCCAAGCCAGCCTTTTCTGCATCCGTAACTGCATTGAGGTTCTTCTTCACCCACCTTCGCATTCTCCTTCGCACCTTCATTCGCCTGGTTCTGCTGTACTGCAGTACTTGACGTGTTCAAATCACGAGCAACAGCCTCATTTCGCCGCCTCTCTAGTAGGCCTAGAGCCCGTTCCTTTTCTGAAGAGCCGTCATCGCTGAGGATACCCACCTCCAATGTGGTTTTCTGTTGTCCCTGCTGATGATGAGGCAACACACCATTCACTCCAGCACCACGCCAACGGGCTCAGGGTGGTTGCAAGGACACCAAATCCTCTCAAGAAGTCGTCATAGGAAATAGGTGAGAAAGACGACCTGCATTCTCCGTCGGAAAGTATAATAAATTAACGTATTGCTCGTGATGTGCACTAGTCCCCTGTGTCCTCTCATGCTTGTTCACTGTTTCCTACTGACTCACCCGGCTGCTTGCAAGTGAATTAACAGTCGCAGGCCGTTGGCGAAGCCCAGTTACCCTCCCTCCAATCAACCCTTCTGAAGCCGTAGCGAGTTTGGAGTACTCTGTTCACCAGAAACGCACTAGGGACACTCTGTGCAAGAAACGCAACTACAACAGGAGAGCATCTAGACAAACAAACAGTGCAGCTGGCGGCCGTCTACCCCTGCCAAAACTATCTACGCCTGCAATTATGTATTGCGAGACCAGATTACTAGCAGCACAGATGCAGTCGGGGGCAGCTTTGCTGAAAGTCGCGTTCACGTAGTATGCCGAAGAATACGTGACCACCAGGTTCATGTTCTAGGGAATCCTTGCCTTTTAAGCACAAGAGCATCAGCCCCAGCAGGACGCACAGTGAGCAGCGAGCCCACCACATTTTTCCGGGACAGAGTATGCTCTGAGCAATCCATAATAAAGGAAACTTGTAAGGCTTAGCACCTCGTCACTAGTGACCTTTCAGCCTCCTGACTTCTCCCTTCCAGCTCTACTCCTGCTGATGCCAGATAATCACACCCTAACTTCGAGAATGGCTAGAGTCAAAGAACAAGGCAGTCATTCTTCATATTCCTACAAGGCGTTCTTTGGGAGTGAAGTGACGGGCGTGAGATACTGTGGTCACCTACTAGACACAGAGGGTGGTCGGCCGCTTGGCACTCCGAATATTCCCTAGTGGTCAGTAAAAATTAACACTCGAAGTTCAAATACACCAACGCTTGGCGCTGTGTAAACAGGGCACAACGAACTGGTTTGCAGTGGATAGCATGCCTCCCTCGGCGCTTCTTGCCTGTGCCCGTTGTGCGCTCGGTATGCAACAAAAGCCGCATGGCTTTGGAAGTTTTCATCCTTCTTACCTACAAAAACTTTCCAGAAATGAGCAAAACTGGGATTATTTCTTGATTATCGTTGAGGTGGCACGGCCCACCCATGCTGACAGGGCAAGCTTGTGGCCCTCACGCTCCCGCGGGAGCTCGTTGCTATTGTGTTCCTCTCCACCTCCTGTGGTGGCTAGTCTAGGCCGCACGCCTCTCTTCTGTCGTCCTTTTATCAGAAAAAGAAGCAGTTGTTTTCTAGTCTACTCCCGCATGACGCTTGTTCGGGGTACAGTGAAGTGGTACACTGCTTCCCAGGGAGCATTGCGCAGCACGGCCGTGGGACGTCAGCAGGAGTGCATAGGAGGGGAAACCCACATCTTATCTTATATTTTAGGTTCCTCCTCAAGAAACACGGCGCATTGGCAGGAAAGTGTGGCAAAGAAACAACTACGCGGTGTGACCGGTGCCAAGATACTCCTGGTTCGTTTGTATGCTCAGCTACCCTGCGGGAAGACAAGGAAGAGTTATCTCCATAGGGATTCGTTTCAACCGTATATGGTTAGCAGTATCTTTTGGAGCATCAGCGCTACATAGCGATTGTTTCATCCAACCAGTCCTCCCCAGTTCACACAATAGTATGGGGGGAAAATTGGCAAGTGCGCCTCGCAGACCAATACCGCTGTATCCTCCGTACACTACTCAAAAAACGCAAATGGGACAGGACGACTGTTCGATGGGATAAGCCCGACATGTTCAGCAGGCACAAAGCGTTTGTAACCCACTTTTACGCTGCAAGAGCGCCGTGCCGCGGACGGTACTCCTCCGTTCTCCCCAGAATCCAGATTCAACATCCAAAGTCTATCGTTCCCCCGGTCGAATGGAAACTATTTAGCTTTTTTCACAATGCACTTAGCATAAGATGCACTGATGTGCTTCCGTTGCTGATACTAAAGTGGGTACGGGCGTGATGTAGACCGCACGAAAAGTAGCTAACGGGTTTTTTATCCTGGAACATACTATAGCATAGTTTTGTGTGGGCTAGCTTGACGGTGGGTCAAAACAGCCAGGGCTAGAACTGACGCAAAGGGTAGAAATTCAGGGATTCCGTCTACCAACCACCAGTGATCGGTAGTTGTTACTCTCCTCAAAGCCACTTCAAACTGGGGGAGTGTCGGCAATGCTGGTAAGCTACAAAATCTTGCACATGTATTGGCACCATTTTGTGATTTGGATACCGAATCCTAATTATGATAGCAAACCTTCAAATGACGCCAGCAGGAACCCATTATGCAAAAAAAATTGGAAACAACACGTGTAGCAGGAAAGCCTTATCTCCATCAGACAAGTTCCCCAGAAGACAATAAAGTATTGTATGAACAAAAACACGTTGAGGCGGTCGCAAGCAAACCAACCCTACTACGCCCAATAAACAGCGTATTCAATCCAAGCCTCTTTGTGTGTGGAATGCGCTTTCACTTCCCGACAACGGACCGCCATGTCGTAATTCACCAAAGCTTCTCCAACCTCGGCAGGGCAACACGCCATCAGTCCTTTCGTTTTTTCTTGTGCTTTTTGCGCCTCTTTTTCTCCTTTTTGCGCTTCCTTTTCTTCTTACGCCCCTTAGCATCGCTCTCGCTGTCAGAGGCAACAGGGGTAAGGCTGAGCGCACCATTAGACCAGCATCACATCAACAGATAATGGTCAAAGGTTCACCCATCACAACTGTTGGCGAGCACTGCTTCCAGAGCACAAGAAGCTCTATTATTGCGCGTCTCTTGAGCCTGCAGAGAGCTGATTCCACCTGTTCTTTTCCAGACAGAGGCCGCAACTATTATAAACCCATGGAATGAGGCGAAACGGATACAAGGCTGGAGATGGTTGCTTACCTCCCCTCGCGCTGCTGGGGTTGCAGGTCGTTCAGGAATTCGACAGGGTTAAACCATGGCGTTTTCTGAAGAAAATACTAACAGAACAGAATCCCGCTGCCGCATTCAAGTAGCAACATAGTAGCCCTGAAAATGGATGTACGAGCCAGTGTCCTCATAGGGTTACCTGCTTCAGCTCTTCGGTATAAAATCGGTCGGGCATCCACGCATCGGAGCCATCGTTCTGAAGCTGCAGTTGTTGCGCTTCTTTCTCTTTGGCAAGTCTTTGCCTGACGGCAGCATGAACATCAACAGAGCCAAACTTTCGTGCCACTTTCTCCTGCAGGCACACATATGCGCACGGCGAATGTGTTGGGAGGCTGATGGGGCAGGCAGCATGGAAGATGAAATCCGGAGGGACAAAAAGCAAGCCGCCACCATACTAACAAAAACTGACCTTCACTCGCTTCACCACATCCTCATCGACACCTTCAACCACTATGGAGTCTAAGACCCTCCTGGCGTTACTAGAGACGAGATCCGGGCTCTCTCTGAGCTCCTTCGTACGCCCTTTCGACCTCAAGATTCCCCCTGTGAGCATGTAAATACATAAGGGAAAGTTGATATCGCGTAGTAGTGCCAAACCACGAATTACTTCAGTCCCATTGCTACGACTGACGGGCCCGTACACGTGTCGTTGTGCTTCGCTTCGAGCTCTTTTTCTCTCTTTCTCCAAAGCCTCCGTTTCTCGAGAGCTTTGTTAAAGTCGGCAACCTGCTTGACGTGGCGTGTGATTACATCCGCCATAGGCACCTCCTTATTGCTTGTCGGCTCCTTCACATGGTCTCCGATGCGGCAACGGATGATACTGCTGTCTAATCTGAGCTCTTCCGTGGGCGCCTCTTCCATCCTTCCCCTTGAACTTGTAGGAATGGGATACAGATTTCAAAGGGGTGCAACATCTGTTCAATGAAGTGTAGATTGCCTGGATGGTCGAGGTGTTGATCGAATTGTGTAGTGCCAGGTACAGCACCAGGTCTGGGACTCGCAGCAAGCCTTTATAGTAGTGATATAAAAATAATAAAAGGTAGAAACAAATTCAATTACATGAGTAGTCTGGAAGTGCTCCGTGGAAAACACTAACTAAGCACGGAAGGCAGCGTTTGGGGCTTGATGGGCCTTGTGCATAGTGTCGAATTGCGCGTGGCAAATAGTTCTGTTTCATACCTTGAGAAGTCTTAAATCCCTCCGAAGATGCGTTTTTTGGCTTCCACAAACGATCTTAACAAGGCTACAGTGTGTTGGGAAGCTGTATCTGGGTCGGCTCTCAGTTTATGCGGCGTGGAATGCTCAGTGTCAACTATTGGGCATTAGGGTTCGGTACTAGTAGCAGTGCGAGTTCGACTGTATTCTTCTGAAGAGGAAGCGCCTGGTTCTGCTCCTAAGTAGCTACACGGGAGCGTGATAATTCTTCTTCACTACGGCTGCTATGTAGTATTGTAGCGCGTTATGTGTACGGGTGGTTCATGGGTTTGTGCATGAATGCGTGTTGGGTACAGAGGTTTGACCAAGCATTAAAAAATTAGAGCGTTACTGCATATATCAAAAGGGGGCTTGGGTGGACTTGTACGTGGGGTTGTCTTGCAGCAGAATTTCCAGCCTGGAGCGCTGCAACACATGATGGGTCGGCTAAACAATCTCCGCAACAGGCCGTCCCCATCGAGCCACTGTGCTCAAGGATCCTGGAGAGTCGCACGACTGTCTCCTGCAGAGAGGGACTACTTTTCGTTTCCAACGCATGAACAAGGGGGCAGGAGAAAGCAGCGCACCCCATCCCCACACCTGGCCGGCCGGCAGAATAGCAAGACTTATTGAAGGTGTTTTACCAGAGGAACCATTTTTCTCTGCTCTCCCTAAAATCTGTGTAGAATTCAGCCACTTCTTCTCTCGAATAATGAAGATCCATCGACAAATCGCATCTTACGGGCTATAGATAGCATCAGCACCGGAATTATTGGAAGGGTGGGAGAGCAATGGTGCCTGTATCCAAGCAAGGGTGCCCCTTTTCCGAAAGACATCCGAACGCTGGAGGCTATCCAAGATGCACTGCGATGCAGGCGTTTCCCCAGGTCAGTAACGAAACAGGCAATGACAGGATCAAGATACCTTCATTATGCAGTAGAAAAACTTCCTTGCTAAATCGGAAGTCTAGCGGTGAACTTCGAACTTCCAGACCAATGGCTCAAGTGATTCACAGCTGAACTGTTTCTTGGAGGGGCAGCCTCTAACTAGCTGGGCAGCCGCCGAGAGGGCAGTAAATGGTGAAAGTCGTGAGCATGTCACGATGGTGGCGTGCATACGCTTCAAAGAGGCGTGCATACGCACCACCGAGAAAAAAAGAAACGCCACTTCCACCGTTCTAGCTTAGAAGGAAGGAAGCTGATTTGGGAAGGATTCAGATAAATAGCTTGTCTATGGGCTGTGAATGCCAGCCACTACGAAAAGAAGCGAAGAAGCTCAGAAACGTGGCGTGCATACGCACCACCGAGAAAAAAGGAAACGCCACTTCCACCGTTCTAGCTTAGAAGGAAGGAAGCTGATTTGGGAAGGATTCAGATAAATAGCCCGTCTATGGGTTATGAATGCCAGCCACTACGAGAAGAAGCGAAGAAACAATCAGAAGGGTGCGAGGGCGTCCCAGCTTCTTTTGGAGCAAGTAACGTCACTTAAATTTGTGACTGC